TGATAATTTACATCAATATCACTACCTACTTCTTCAGGATCATCAACCAGCACTTCAAAACCACTTAAATCTTCTTATAATGCACCACGTATATCACTACTTTTGATTTTTAACACTAAAACAATGATAAACGTAATAAAACACATCAGTCATCGGTCCGGGGGAACTTAGCTGTTTACAAATACACGCACGTCAGCTGTCGGCTACAATATTTTCGGAACTAAAATGACTAGCGCTTAGAGACAGACCTCTTGAGAAAGCTTAGAATATTACGGAAAGAACGATACCTAACTCGATCCAGTTCAATCCGATTCAGTCAGTCATAGAGCCTTCGCCGTAAACGATGTTTGTGCGTCTTAAAAGCGACGCGTGACCCTACACAAAGTGTGTTGTGCGTCGTTTTTATGACGCGTGACACTCGGAGGGTTAAAGTTGGGTTGGGTTAGGTTAGATTAGATTAGATTATGTAACATCATTTTGTAGTTGCTGATACATTGTATGGTATTTGTTTACTTTAGGGGCTTCTAACGAATTTTGAAAAAAATGTCTTTTTCTCATTATTTGGCCTATTTTGAACACTTTTTACATTTGGCATTTTTGGGGCAAACGCCTATTTCACCCTGAAAATCGCGTTTGAAAATTGCAAAAAGTGCTAAAAAAATGCGTAGTTTTTTTACTCTTAATGTGTTTTTACTATTACTAAGGACCTACACAGAACTAAATATAATCCAACCTAACCTAACCCAACCCTACCTAACCAATGCTTAGGTTAGCAATATGCCGAAAATAGCGGATTATTAGTTAAACCAAGGTTAGGTTACGTTAGGTTAGGTTAGGTTAGGTTAGGTTAGGTTAGTTAAGGTTAGGTAAGGTATGGCTAGTTATTAAGTTATTATTTAAATCAATTAGCCTAAAATCACCTGAATATTTTAAATCTAACTTAACCTAACCTAACTTAACCTTACGTAAACTAACCTAACCATATTTAAACTAACCTAACCTAACTCAATCCTACCTAACCTAACCCAACCCTACCTAACCAATGCTTAGGTTAGCAATATGCCGAAAATAGCGGATTTTAGCGAATTTCCCTATAGGGAAGTAGCTATTACCGTAGGTCTCATGGTAAGACCTAAGCCCGGGACCGATTTACTTTTTCATTTTGATGTCCCCAGAGGCCAAAAACACCATTCGTTCAAATTTTTATATATCTATATATAGAGATATATATATATATATATATATATATATATATGTGTCCATCCGCACGATAACTTGAGTAATTTTTTTCCGATTTTGATAAAATTTGGTTTGAAGGTGTAAGGCGGGATAAACTTGAATGAGTTCGCGAACCAGCATGATCGGACTATGGGAACGGGGGTTTATGGGGGGTTTTATGGGGTAAAAATAGGTTTTTCCCATTTTTGACCCTAAAAACACAAAATTTCACAATTTATTTTTAAACCATTTTGTAGAGCTTAAAAGAACAAATAATTTAGTATATTGAAGCGTTATTATGCGCCTAATTGTTACGGAGAAAATTCAAAAAAATTGTAATTTTAAAATTCCCATGTTATTCTTATGGAGAATAAGTCAACTGTTGTAGTTTACTTGTTTATGAACATATTTTGATTGATTTTGGAAAATACTTTTATTTCTTACTAAACTATTATTATTTTATAAAACATCTTTTTTACCCTCCCTGTTGCAGCAAACCTAAGTACTCGTTAAACTAATTCTATTTAAATAGGAAAAATGTGCTATTTTTATGGAGGCATTTTAGTGTATATCCAATCAGGTTAATGGAAATTCGCTTAGTCTGCAGGTTTGCTGCGGCGGGGGTATTTAGTTAAACCAAGGTTAGGTTAGGTTAGTTTAAATATACATCTGCTTATTACTACAATAATAAAAACACATTTAAAAGAAAGGCAAGGGGGGGGGGGAACCTGATTTTCTAAGTAAAAATGGCAATTGCTGAAAAATTTTCGCGATTTTCAAACGCGATTTTCAGGGTGAAATAGGCGTTTGCCCCAAAAGTGTCAAATGTAAAGTGTTCAAAATAGGCCAAATAATGAGAAAAAACATTTTTTTCAAAATTCGTTAGAAGCCCCTAAAGTAAATAAATACCCATTGTATTATGCACTGTGATACGTTTTCACTTTTAGACACGATGGGATTATGTACTATGGGATTATGCACTATGGCACGTTCATTAACAGACGTTGAGGCATTAGTCAATGGTTGAGGATTGGAATGAGGACGATGATCATGTCGGCAGTGGCCAAGCTTCTATTACTGATAGGCTTCTATTACCTATTTTACGTGAATAAATTCTATTTTGTTTTATAATTTATGTTCATGTGATTAATAGTTTTTATGTATCGTAGTTGATTTATTGTATTTCTAAACAGCACCAAAGTCCATTTTCTTTTAAAAATCTAGTTATTGCATATTGTAACTCTGATTTTGCTCTCATGGCGAGGCATTAGTCAATGGTTGAGGATTGGAATGAGGACGATGATCATGTCGGCAGTGGCCAAGCTTCTATTACTGATAGGCTTCTATTACCTATTTTACGTGAATAAATTCTATTTTGTTTTATAATTTATGTTCATGTGATTAATAGTTTTTATGTATCGTAGTTGATTTATTGTATTTCTAAACAGCACCAAAGTCCATTTTCTTTTAAAAATCTAGTTATTGCATATTGTAACTCTGATTTTGCTCTCATGGCGTCATGTGTGGTTTTGTCTGTTTAGTATCGAATGTAAACAACTGACAGCTGTTTCCACTCCACAAACCTTCCACCCTTTTAGTGTTAGTCGTCACTAGAACTTGGACTCGTCCATATCACAAATATGTTAATAAATCAACAAAACTGAAGCTTAATATTCATTATTTAACTGTACGGCCACTTAGGAATCTCTCCGGCCAAAACTGATTGCATTTTTGGATTCAGCGTTAAAAATTCTTTAAGTAGACATAGAAAAATTACATCAAATCCCAGTGTAAATAGGGTAAATAATTACCCAAAGTTCAAAAGTTGTTTCTTCCAGTTGCTTATCCCTAGGAGTGGCGAGACCGATTTTCGGTATGTGCTTTGTGGAGTGGCACGCTCTATTTGGTGAATTTGTAAGGGAGTTCTTCAAAAATCTGTATAAAATTAGTATGTAGAGATAAACTATTGAACCGTATATTCATTTTGTTCGTAATAGTCAGTAGAATTCAAAAATGGTAATACAAACCAATTTTAGAAAGGTAGATTTTTAGAAAAAAGTAAAAAAAATAAAATTTATAAATTTATCAAGTTTTATTTCAAAAGCAAACACGTGTCACATGTAACGTAATTTTTTATTGCACAATTCAAAATATGCATTTTGTTCAGAATTTATTCCTCTACATAGACATATCATAATTTACACAAAATAATTATTTTTATAGATTTACTAGCAATAATACGGAAAAATTGGAAAACGTCAAATTCTTCAACTACACGTTGATAGATCCACAAATGCCCTCTACTAATATATCAATATGATAAAACCATATTTTTTTTTGTAGCCAATAATATCATTCTATATAAGAATAACTAAATAAGATAAGTAATAGAATATTTGGTTTTCACAAAAGCAAAAATGTAAACAAAACAACTGATCAGCTGTTATAGCCCACAAAACTTCACTGACCTTTTATCCTATTTTGGATCACACATGTATAAATATTTATGAAAAATAATGCATAAATATTTCGCCTAATACAAAATAATGAACTAAAACGAACATTACAATGTAAAATTAGGGATAAACCCACACTTCGTCTTTGTTATCGAACAAAAACTCACGACGACGCCGCCATTTTAGGTTAGACGATGACAAGTGTTCTGTTCCTTTAGCTTTGAAAAATCAAAAGCTTCTATTTGTGTGACCAGCCTAACAACATTGAATTCTACTGTCCTTCGTCTACAAGAGAGTATATAAAACAACGTTTTTGTACTTTTCACATTGTATATATATGCGATTTAGAAATCGACATTTTATGTCGATCCGCCACATGAACAATACGTAAAAATAGGCTATTTACAAAAATTGTTTATCAGCTGTTGGAATGTATAATGACGTTATACTTTATACAGAATAAAATATTTCTTTATGCTTGTTGCAGTGGTACCACTTGCTTTTGTCAGAGACAAAAATTACGTCTGCTATTTGTTAATGAAATGACTCATCATTTACGATTGCGCAACAAAACATGGCGTTCGCGAGTTCGCGCGTATTTTTCGTTTAAATGTAACTCATTATAAGAACGATATATTTATGTTATAAGGTTCATTCTTATAATAAAATGAAACTACGGAATCTTATCTTTCCATTGGTATAAGAGTTATGTCATTTCACCGACTTTAAATGTGCTTAACATGCAACTGAAAAAAACGTTACATAAATCGACATATTCTGTCGCCCGCCACTCCAGCGGCACATTTTGAAATCGACATTTTCTGTCGATCTGCCACTCCTAGGGTTATCGTTTGGTTGAAAACAGTCAGCTGTAGGCTTAGTTAACCGACAGTTAATTCCACTTGTAAATGTTATCCATCCTACCTTGTTTATTGTCATGTTTTATATTTTTACGGCGACAGGCTATATCTTGAGAAATATGTACCAGCTGTGATAAATAATGGTACTGTAACTTATGTTTTACCGGTATTTGGATTCAGAAGGTAAAAAAACTATAACTAAAAGTAAGATATCAAAATAAAAAATTTGTTTGGAGGCACCTAAGTTAGGCCTATAAGTACTAATATAAATAACTTACCAAAACATCGATGTTTCAAAAATATCGAACATCGATGTTTTGAAAATATCGACTATCCTAAGAGTACAGTTACAAGAGTAGGCCTAACTTAGTTAGGCTAGGCCTACCTAGGCCCTAGATTGACATAGCCAAGACAAAGGATTGACACAAGAAATATAAATCAGTTTAATTGATATAAGTAGCCCCACCTCGTTGTATGTGCAGTTTTTATCATCACCTGGTCCAAGAACGGCATCAGCATTCTCTTCCAATATTTCTTCAGCTTTTAAAACATCAACCATGGTGACGATCCCATCTTCATCACATTCGTTGCTCTCATTAATATTGGACAATTTGTTTTCAGCCATGACTTAGACTTGATTCTAAGCAAACAGGTTACTAAATAATACTATAACTTTAATTTTATGAACTACAATTTGATTAAAAGCTTACGCTTTTTAGCTAGAAATGAAACTTATAATTTTGATCTAGGTCCTAGGTTAGGATTAGGGCCTGGGGTTGGTTAGGGCCGTTATCTGGATTCTGATTCTGGCTGGAATCTGATGATGAGCGGTGAGCGGGAACGGGAGTAGAGAGCGGGAAAACAGCGCAGCCCAAAAGCCATGAGATATTAAGCTATAGAATATATATATATATATATATATATATATGTATGTATGTGCATACTAAATGGCTAAATTGGAATAATAGATAAAACATGAGGAGTATGTTTTATCTATGGTACAAATAACAGTCAATCAAGTCAACCAATACAGTATGTGATAATCATTTATCTGTCTCATATCCTTTTACTTTATTGACCATTCAAAAAATTAGCATTTTTCGTCAAAAACTAATTTATTTGTATTTGATTGCGCAGTTGTATCATAACTGTTTGGAAACTTTTTTTTAATATTATAATATTTAATAATATTATTATTATTTTTTACAAAAATAATATTATTTCGGAGAAGCAATTTGGGTTCACAAAAAAGAAAACCACCACAGACGCAATGACTGACCTTTATCTCAAATTTAGTCAATTCATTGGATGCAGGGGAACATACAATGGGTTTTTTTCGATCTGAGCAAAGCCTTTGATAAGGTGGATCACGCATTGCTTCTTGATAAGCTTACTTGTCTTGGAGTGCGAGGGCTGACACTGCAATGGTTTAAGTCATTCATTACAGGACGGAAGCAGTTTGTGATGATTCAGGCGGTGGATGACTTAGGATATCTGAATACCTACCGCTCACCCCATTGCGAGTCTGCTAGTGGCGTGCCTCAGGGGTCAGTCCTCGGTCCGGTGTTGTTCCTTGTCTTTGTGAATGATCTTCCATCAATTGTAAATTCTGGAAACATTTGTCTGTTTGCTGATGACACGTCGCTCTCGGTTTCTGATCAAAATTTCGATGAACTCGAAATAAAGGCCTTTTTGCAAGCGAGCTCCATGATGCAGTGGTTCGAGAACAACTCATTGAATCTAAAAGCCAGAAAAACTGAATTTGTAGTTTTTTTTATAAGTTCAGCTGGGATAAACAAAAACAATTTCCTTTTGAATAATGTTGAGCTCGAGGCAACTGATCAGGTTAAGTTCTTGGGATTGGTGCTCGAAACCTGCGCTTTCATTCCCATATTGACACTGTGTGTAGAAGGATTTCTTCGGGAATCTTTCTTCTCCGCCAACTTTCTAAGTTTGCAAAATGTGATGTTCTAATTACAGCATATTATGGAGTGATTTTCCCGCACCTGGTATACGCAGTGCCGGTGTGGGGGTGGCACAATTTTTATTTGAGCTGCAGTTATTTTAATAAGAACAAATGAGAGCATTCTATTGGCTGAGGGAACACCATTAGCGCAATGAAACGGAACGAAGCCATCGGCATTGTTTTATCTATGCCATCGGCCTCGGTGGTCTAGTGGATAGCATGCCGGTCTTCGAAACTCATGATACCAGGTTCGAAACCCATCGGGGGTACGAACTTTTTGTCTAAGATTTTTGCATTATCAGCAAGTTTGGTTAGTTTTGTTAGGTTATAACAGTTAATTATTTTTTTTTAAACCTTATAAAATTGAATTTGAGCTATTAATAGTTTTATTTTATGAACAGAACTTTTTTTCGATTAGTAAACCTTCATTCTATTTTTTTATTATCAAATGATTCAAATGATTTATTAGGCCATTCAGTGCATACAGGACAATAGGCTACGTCAACAATACAATAAATAATAAATAACATGCCAAGCTTCTTCTAGCATTCTTGACTAACAAAATTAAATTAAAAGCTGAAAAAAACATGCAGGATCTCAATCAATACAAAACATGCAAAGCAATGCATGCAACTAAAAAAAAAAAATGAAAACTACATGCTGCAAGCCATGCAAGGCAGAGAAAAATAAATAAATTTACATTTTTGTAATACCTCTACTGGACTACTGTGGGTTCAACCCAATAGTAACAAGCTGTGCATTCCAAAACTCTTTTATGGAATAGAATGGATTGGTAAGCATCCAAGCTTTTAGTGTGGTCGCAAACTTGTTCGGTAAGAGTTGTCTTACAGTTATGGGTAAGGCATTGTAGAACCTTATTCCTGCAACAGGAAAGCAGTTGAGAGTTAAATCTAGTCTAACTCTATCTCTAAAAATATTTTCATTGTTCCTAGTGCTATAATGATGAACATTATTAACCAATGGAAAAGCTGATTCATTGTTCTTAATCTCTAACAGGCATTGGTAAATAAATACATTGTGTACAGGCATTATACGAGGCATGTTTTTTAAGTAAGTACCGTTTTTAAACTTCTCCGTTCCAGCGCTGCGATTGGCATTTTGGACATTTGCGCTGTATATGTGCATATATTGGCAAGCCCTAGCCGGAAATTCGACAACAATCGGCTGTGTTTACATCCGGTATCGAGCATTCAAAATGGTGCCGCAAATTGAGACTGCCGCCGACTGTGAAGTGCGCGCTGTAATTAGATTTTTATGTTCTAAAGGTGTGAAAGCCATTTAAATTTGTCAACAGATTAGTGAGGTGTATGGCGAGAACATTTATGAGTGACGGAATGGTACACAAGTGGGTAAGGGCATCTAAAGACGGCCCAACCAATGTTCATGATGAGCAACGCACTGAGTACTGGGGACAGTGACGCTGCCCAGTGCGTTAGTCATCATGAACGTTGGTGGGGCCGTCTTTAGATGCCCTTACCCACTTGTGTACCATTCCGTCACTCATAAATGTTCTCGCCATACACCTCACTAATCTGTTGACAAATTTCAATGGCTAAAAAAAATCTAATTACAGCGCACACTTCACAGTCGGCGGCAGTCTCAATTGGCGGCACCATTTTGAATGCTCGATACCGGATGTAAACACGGCCGATTGTTGTCGAATTTCCCGCTAGGGCTTGCCAATAGATGCACATATACAGCGCAAATGTCCAAAATGCCAATCGCAGCGCTGGAACGGAGAAGTTTAAAAACGGTACTTACTTAAAAAACATGCCTCGTACCATGCTGAACAAACAGAGGTTTACAATGCTCAAGCTGATGGACTCCACACAAGACCCTGACAGCTTTCTTCTGTAGTTTGAGGACTTTTTGCACTCCAGGGGAGTGACCCCAGAGCCTAGTGCCATACAGAATATGAGCATGGAAAAAAGCAAAGTACGCAAGTCGAACAAATTCAAATGGCATGTCAGCCTTCAACCGTCTGAGCAAATGGATTACACGACTTAGCTTACCACACAGGATTTCAATATGATCGTTCCAATCAAGCTGAGGGTCAAGGGTGAAGCCCAGCAGCTTTACAGTGTTTTCTTTCCTCAGTTCCCTAGAAAGACTGAAAGTGATGTTTTGAGTTTTGGCTTGGTTCAGGCATAATTTATTGTTGCGAAACCAGATAGAAGCTACATCTAATAATTCCTGCACAGCAACTTTAGATACAGAAAAATCTGAGTGACTAGAAAAGAGAGTTGTAATCATCTGCATATAGCAGGACATTGCCTGCAACACTGTGATACAAGTCATTGATTGAGATTACAAAAAGGAAGGGACCCATAATAGACCCTTGCGGGACTCCATTGTTCACCATCAGAGGACTGGAAGAGTTACCATTCCAAGTCACAACTTGAGACCTCCCTTCAAGATAAGATTTAATCAATGAGAGAGCATCGCCTCGTACCCCGTACCTTTCGAGCTTTGACAACAGGAGACTATGTGACACACAGTCAAAAGCGCGGGATAGGTCACACATTATAACAGAAGTAGAATTTCTAATCTCTAGACCATTTAAGATTTCTTGAACAAGACAGTCCACAGCCTGAACGGTGGACTTTCCTCAGCAAGTTTGGTTAGTTTGGTTAGGTTTTCACAGTTTAATTTTATAATTAAAAAATATAAAATTTAATTTGAGGCATTTATAGTTTTATTTTATGAACAGAATTATTTTTTCTATTAGTAAACCTTCATTCAATTTTGTCCTTATCAGCAAGTTTGGTTAGTTAGGTTGAGTTATGACAGTTTAATTAAAAAATTAATTATATATTTTTTTTTTAGTTTTATGCCTACAGTAATTTTTTTTTAATTTCTAATTTTTAAACTCTTATTTTGTCCGTATTAAAAAACTGCAGCTGAAATAAAAATCGTGCGTGGGGTTGTGAGTGTGGGAAAACGTCTTTCCTTTTCCGACTCCAGAAGAGGGCAGTTAGGGCAGTCTTTGGTTTGAAAATAAGAACATCTTGCAGGCAATACTTTGTTTCATCACAAATTTTAACATTTCCCTCATTATACATTTTGGAAACTTTGATTCTCATTAAAAAAAAAAAACTTACACCAATACCAATCTTCACTTACACATTCCTATTCACTACGTAACAATTCTCATCTTAAATTGCCATCTCATTCAAGTGATTAACTGATATATGACTGATTTCGCCACACAGTGAGAAACGAAACCATTGTTTATTATTGAACATACTCTCTTAATATAAATTCAATGCCGATACTGATATTAAGTTCTTTTTCTGTTCTCATGTTTCCAACATTCGTGAATCGTGAATTCGTGATCGTGAATCGTTTTCGATCTTTTCGATTTAACAAAATGGTGGAATTTCCGTGTAGGTAGAGTTTGGCCGGTGATTCCCTGACTGAACAGGAACAGAGTGAATTTTGTGTTTGTCTTTAATAGTCTGTGTTTATCAAACATCATGGATCTCATTTAGACCAAGAGTTATTTTTTAAAGACATATTTCTTAAAATAACTGCATTCAATTGCATAAATGTCTCGTTGAATAATGCGTTCTAATGTTTGCATTCGTGTCGTAGCAAAAATAACTTTGAGTCCTTTTTAGAAACAATCCACAACAGTTTAAGTTCAGCCTTAACCTAAATCGGGAGTGATTGATATCAATTCGTTACAAAATTTAGTTTTCATTCATTCTTTTTTATTACTCTGAGGCAGGTACGTATTTAGGCAATTTCTTTCCTTTAATCTGAACATCTTAACACGTTCGCTGCTGAGCGCTAGATGCCGGGACGGCGCCAGTTGCTGAACTAACGCTCGGCCGCTGCGTGACATTGCCACCGATACACTGAGTTACAGTAAAAACAACAGTAGTTATACTGGATGGCAATGTTCTGCAATAAAACTGGCTTTGGATATAGTACTAAGTGATTCTGATAGATAGCAGCACTACCCAGGTTACAGTCAGTAAAGTAGTGTCGCTATCTAGCAGGAAAGAGGTAAAACAAAGCCCTGTTCTAAACGACCCTGGTGGTGATTTGGGAAACTATATTTTTTATTGTCAGAAAAGTACGTCCGTACGAGCTGCAAAGAAATATAGAACGCTTGTGACGTGCTGGCTTATCCATAGCAACGTTAAACAACAATGAACGGTGACGTTCTGGAACGTTCTTAGCTCCTGGCGCCGTGGCCCGGCTGACGTTCCGGAACGTCCGTAGCAGCGAACGTGTTAAACTAATTTGTTATGGTAGCCGATCCTTCTGCACTAGGTTGAGCCCATTTCATCATACAATAGGCCTAGGCCAAGCCATTGAGGCTTAATTACACGGTACAAGCTTGTATCTCTATTCTCTTGATTTATGATAAGTTAAACAATATTGTCTTAGGCTAGACTATTGGTTGGCCTAAGATAGGCCAATACATAACTTAACCCTAACAGTGGCCAACGAGCGTAATACGCTCGTTCGTCGCGACGCCTAAAATGGCAACCAGCGTTATATGTTAGTATGGATCGCAATTTTTTTATCGGTGAAAAAACCGCTTATAACTTAATCAACTCTGATATGAATAATTAGGCTAGGACCATTCTAAAGATCACATTCTGAACTTTCATTTTATTATTTTATATAGGCCTAAACACTGTAACTTAGCAGGTAGCTATATAACAAGGTCACGGCGATTAGAAATCAAATGAATTTTTGGCGCGGCACGACTTTAGCAGCACTTGGGAACTGTCAAAATAGGGGCCTACGACTTGTTTGGCATTATCCTGCTTGGTTAATTTTCGTTTTGGAATTTTGCGGGTGGTACCACTGTATAGCCATTGATTTTATCTTCATTGTGGTATTGATATTTTGAAAGAAATATTGACTGCACAACAGGTCCGATTTTATGAAAACAGCTGAGTTTTTGAAATTTCCCTACTGTAACAAATGGCCAAACAGTGTAATACGCTAGTACATTACGGAAAATATGAATTACATAGTTATAGTGTAAGTTATTAGGCCTATTACCCTACTAGTCATATAATATGTCATTTTGAAGAGGAAGAAATGTAGCTTGTGATAGTGGAAGCCCTGCGCTCCGGGTTATTTCCATTTTCTCTCACTAAGATGACGAAAGTGCGTCACTACTGTCAAGGTCTCGTACACAAAGTGCCTTTTGCAATTGTTTGTTGTTGCCGGTGAGTTTTCGCTCTCTTTTTGTCCGCGATTTAACTTATTACTAAATTTGTCATTATTTTGTATTGTTAGAGAAATGTGTACGAACAGTAATCTTTATGCATTTTATTATGCATGAATATTTAAGTAGTACTGAATAACCTAGTGTGAAATTGTGTTTATATAAAAGTTTGTATTTTTCTTGCGGTTTTCCGTTTATATGTACAGTAGACCCCCTCTTAACCGACAATCAGATTATCCGCCTTCGATCGTAAAATAATGCAGTTTGTTTTAACCGACCTTGATTTGAGAGCAGCTCAGTTTAACCGCCGCTTTCTAGGAATCTCGGCATTTCCGCTCCCACGCTGGGCGATGAGAACTGAACCATACGCTATATCTCCACAGGATATGACTAACAATAAGCTATTTTGTGTTGAGCACAAAAAATATAGCATAGCCTATTGTCAGTTTGTCATCATCGTTTGTAGCTCGAGCACATCTGATCTGATTTGTTATCTGTGCGGCAAATTTATAACATCACAAAGTGCGTTACGATTTTGAGAACTGATTATCTTATCGCCGGAGTAAACAAACAACGCAACTTGTAAGTTAAGGAAGGCAGGGAAAGGGGGTTAACAACTCCAAGGTCAAGATAGTTTTTGTGCCTGGAGCCTCCAGTGAGAGGCTATAAATAAACGTCCTGTTTTGTAACAAAATGGTCGCTTGTATCTTTAATGTCGACAAAAGGTTCTGTACTGTATTACGATGGATTTGGAAAGTATCAATTAATACATTACAGTATTAAAGTTATTAAAATAGGAAATTTATTGACTCTTGCCTAGTATTATTAATAATATATTCCATTGAAAGTAGGCCTATTTGACTTAACTGTGTTTTGTGTTTATTTGTGACTTTTCTATCAATATGAAAAAGGAGATAAGAGTAGTTTATTTTATAAAGAATGCAAGTATGACTTCAAAATAATAATTATATAATTCCAAATGAATAGCACTTCATTATGTTATGATTTTAGGGATTGCCCGTTTTATCCGACCTAGGTCCGGTCCCATTAGGGTCGGTTAAGAGGGGGTCTACTGTATTATTATGCCCCTAACTTAACATGTAAAAACAAAAATTGTTACCAAACGTGTTATACATTTTTATGTAGGCTAGGAATTTAATTGAATACACTACAAGATGATTTATGTTGGTTTGAAGTAAAAAAATTTGGTAGGCTACAAAAGTTTTATAGGCTACTAAATAGGCCTACCATGATTTTTTTTTTCACAAAATCGCTAAAATACCAAAACATTATTTATATACATACCGGTACCCTAAATAAAAAATTATTTTACCATAAACTTTGTGACATTTTTGGATTCCTTACTTTATTAACTTTATTAACACATATATTATAACTTTTTATAACACAAACTAATACTGTACGGTTTTCAATTTTTTTTGGTTCTCCGTTTGTTATTAATATTTCACTCCAAAAACTTAAAAAAAAATTTTCCTAACATATTTCTATGTAGGTAGGGAATTAGATTGTCTACAAAATGTATAGCCTATAATGAATTTTCCATAAAAAATCTGTAGAAAAAAATTTTACCGAGACTGCTTTTAAAATTTCAAAAGAAAAAATTCTATTTTTTTTTTTTCACTTTACCGAAAAAATACACTGTCTAAATCATTATTATATGCTATTACTGTTTCTCCTGTTCTTTCCCAACAAAATGAATATACCTAAGGTTCGGTTGGCTAGGTTTACTTGTAGCCTACGGTTGAATTTTTACGAATTTTCAAAATAAGGTCAGCAAAATCGCCAAAACGGGTTGGCCATTCCCCACTTCTAACATTGGCCACTGCTAGGGTTAAGCCTACTCTAATGTTTACTTTGGTAATTATTGCGATGAGGGTGTCAAGAGTACTATACTTAGTAGGTACGGTAAGTTAATTTATATTTTTAAATAGGCCTAGGCTTAATGTTCAATCTAAATTAGGCCAGGATTGCATAGCCTACTTTTGCAATTAGGCCTGTACGCCTATGTTAGGGGTATGTATTTAGGCCTACCGGTACTATTAAGTAGGTGCCTCCAAACAAGATAAATGAGTAAAATTCATCTTATTTTGATGAAATTTTTTAAAAACCTCTAACTATACCTACCTAACTTAGGCCTACATTAAAATTTGAATGAACCAGCCTGATCGGATTAAGGGAACGAGGTATATGGGTTAAAGATATAATTATAAAGATATAATTATATGGGTGTAAGATTGTTTTTTTCCATTTTTTGGATCCGCAAAAAAATAAAGTTTTGTAATTTCTTTCAGGATTATTTTTTACACAAAAAACAAATAATTTAGGATACCCTATAACTTCTTGTAGCCTTAAGCGTTGTTGGATGCTTAACGGTTGGGTAAAAAATAACTACATTTTTAATCCCTATAGGCCTATATTATATTATTTTTATGGAGGATAAATAAACAGGAGGTGAATCATTTACCTTGATTTTATCTAGTGACTCTTAACTTATACCTTCCTTAAAGGGTGGATGAAGATTTTTAGCAAATCTGTCGCCTACCTACTTCACAGATCCTTGTCAAAGATATCATTCTAGAATTAAACTTCAGTTTTTTACTTCTTTTGTGCAGAGTTTATAAATCACTATGAACAACTGGGGTCAGTGGGGGGCTGCTGCTGCGGCCACCAATGCTGCCACCTATCCAGCATCAACATTTCCCACTCCACCAGTGCCGCCTGTTCCTCCAGCTGCTGGTGCATCTACACCAGCTGCAACTTTGCCAGGGTTCCCCATGGGTCAGACACCAATGGGTTATCCCTACTATGGAGCTGCCGGAGCTATGCCTGGGGTAACTGTTTTTATTTTTTGTTTAGAGCTTTAAAATCATGTAGTTGATAGTCTTGCAGAATTGTTTACAAACTACAGCATAAATGATTCCATTAATAATTATAAAAGGGGTGTGCAAAGGATCAAAAAACTATAGAAATTCCAATTTGATTCTACTTGATGCATCAAATCAAGATTCAATTATATGGTGATTAAAATATTATTTGATTCATAGGGGAAGGGGCTGATAATTGGGAAAGGCACTCTGAGACATTGTGTACTAGTAGCCATATAAGTTATTTATATTAAAGTATGCGGAACTATTAGACAGTTTGTTGTAAAATTGCCTTCATACATGCAAATGGCTGTTTATTATGACAATGCAGCACCCCTAGTTCTAGGAACCAGGAACCGAGTTTAACCGTTTTTGGCCAAGAACCCAACAGTTATAAAATGGAACCGACACATCATTAGTAATAAGATTCAAAATCATCACTAGTCATTAACGCCTGGGAATACATTATTAATGTAATTGTTCTTTACCTTACTGAAACAAGTTACTACTTGGGAAATACCTCCTCTTATTACTTTTTCGATGAGCATAAATTGCTCATAATCTACAAGTAAATCTAAATTGATAGATGTCATCTTTAAACACGGCAAATACTTTAATCTGAAATGGTGAGGCAACCATACAAATGTTGGTATTTTAAGCAAAGTATGAATGGAGAAGAGTGTAGTATGAGTGGGGCGTGATCTTTTAGTTTTGTTAGTGACTTAACTAAGAAGTTGCTGCCTGCTGCTGATTGGAACAATGCCTCCAAATTCGGTGCGCCCCTGGGTAGTCGACATTTGCTGGACCTGAGGGACTACTTGCAGCTTGAACAAATCAACGAAATCAAAAATGCAAGGGGTGTTTTGCTTGACCTTGTGTTTTCGTCAAATCCTGCATTGAATGTGTGTGCTTCTGACGATCCTTTAATTGTTCCTGATGATAACCATCCTGCTTTGACAATGGAAATTTGTGCCCACCAAGATATTAATGTACAACCTCCAACTTTCGAGCCTGATTATCGTAAGTGCAACCTCCAAGAAGTGTATAAGTGGGTTCAAAAACAGTCTTACCCATCTACAGTTTCTGTTGACTGTATTGAAGAATTGTTTATTGAATTTAGCAACAATTTAAAAGAAACTATTTTCCTGAATTGTCCTTTAAGACCGGTGCAACGGACATCCTTCCCTCCATGGTTTACTAGGGAGTTAAGATGTCTTGTATCCAAAAAGAAACAAGTACATGCGAGATTCAAGAAGTTTCATAATCTTGCTGATCTGGATAGATTCAGAGAAATTCGGAGCCAGTGCAAAAGGCTAGCAAGAGTGTGTCACTCCAACTACATCAATAGAATCGGCGAGAGTCTAGACAGCGATCCCAACGTCTTTTGGAGCTATATTCGCAATCTACGAAAATCACCTTCAACACAGGAAATTCTTCATCTAGAAGACAGAGTCGCAACTAATCCACTTGATATGTGTGAAATGTTTGCTGAGTTTTTTTCTTCGATATACAGACCACCAGTGAATGAAGCCCCGGACTATTCATACAATATGGACATCAACTTGGCAAGCATAACTGTTTCAGCATCTGAAATCGAGAAAAAACTGAAGGATCTTGATCCAAAAAAGGGGGCCGGACCAGATGGGATACCAGCCAGTCTGCTCAAATTTTGTGCTGAACCCTTAGCTCCGATAATAACTCTTTATTTCAACAAATTGTTGCGAGCGGGAATATTTCCTCGAAATATGAAAGAGGGGTTCATTGTACCGATTCATAAGAAAGGTGATTTGTCTGACGCCAGAAACTACAGGCCGATCGTTATTCAGCCAGCTCTAGCAAAGGTCTTTGAGAGCTTGGTCCTCGATAGAATGTCCTTTGCATTTAAGAACACCATAATCACTGAACAGCATGGCTTCAGGTCAGGAAGATCGACAACTACGAACCTAACCGTATTCACTGGCCGTATCCTATCCGCATTTTCCAATGGAAATCAACTGGATTGTATCTACCTGGATTTCATCAAGGCATTTGATATAATTAGCCACCCCCACCTGCTGAACAAGTTGAAGGCTTTTGGAATCAATGGATCGGTTTTGGAATGGTTCAGGAGCTACTTGACACATCGCACTCTCCAAGTTAAATATGCTCTAGCCCTCTCAGGACCTATACATGCAACTTCAGGTGTTCCCCAAGGCTCTCATCTTGGACCATTTTTGTTTAGTCTCTTTATAAATGATATAGCTGAGTTCATCAAAGGGCATTTTCTTCTGTTTGCCGATGATGTCAAGCTGTATAGAGAAGTTGGATCGGTGGAACAACAAGTTGAGCTGCAGAATGACATGGATGGAGTGATTGAATGGTGTCTTCGTAATGGAATGGACTTGAACCCGGCCAAGTGTCTAGTTATGTCATTCTCTAAAGCTAGACAGACCCTTCAATTTAATTACTGTCTACAAGGATTAATTATCAGGAGAGCTGATCGAGTTAGTGATCTTGGGGTGCTCATGACACCAGATCTAAACCCTAGTGACCACATCTTGAACGTCTGTAGCAGTGCGAGCCGTGTATTGGGCCTTATCAACCGGACATGTCGACAGGACTTTCCAATTTCATCATTACGCACACTCTACGTCACGTTGGTAAGGCCGGTCTTGGAGTTTGCTGCTGTAGTTTGGACCCCTCATCAGATTGGTCACTGTTCTCAGCTCGAGGCAGTACAGAAAAGATTCTTGCGGCTAGTTGGAGCTAAACAGGGACAACGTTATTGGGATGTTGACTTGAATGAAATGGCACACCGTCTGAACCTTCCATCATTATCTGCCCGAAGAATGCTACTTGACCTGCTGTTCCTTTTCAAGATAGTTAACAGCCAGATCGACTGTCCTGAGATCCTCCATCAATTGGACTTCAACGTTCCCCATCATGCTCGCCGACAACAGCTGTTCTGCAAGCACTTCATACCAACGAACTATACCTACCAGAGCACAATACCAAGGATTATGAGAGTTGGGAATGAGGTTTGCGCTGACTTGGACTTTTTTGGTTGCACCATTGAATCCTTTAAGAAGAAAGCTGTAAATCTAATCTGTCGTTAATTCATGGCCATTGTTATTGTTATTATATTGTTAGTACTGTTATCATATCGTTGTTATTGTCATTTTTGTATAGTTATATTCTTGTTGAAAGAAATTGTTGCTGATCTTATAGAATTATGTCATTATAGGTTTTGTTGTCGTCTTGTTATTGTTACTATTTGTTGAAGTCTATTATTGTTATCTTTTTTGTAAAAGTTTAAGTTATTGTTATTCTTTTTTCGGAGTCTTATTCTTCACTTGTTATTGCTTACTAAAAATGAAATGTTACGACCTTGCCTTTTTTGAATTAATTTGAAAATTTAATTGTTTGTTGGATGTAGTTGTTTTCAATTCATTCTGTGTTAAATCAAACTGTGAAACTGGACATTGTTTTCAACCCATCATACTGTATTTACATTTGTATTACTTTTGTATTGGTGTATCGCCGTGTGTAATAAATAAATAAATAAATAAAGTCTTTCCTGTACAAAACAATTTAGAAACAGCTCTTTAAGCTGTCTATAATTGTTTAAGTTAATTTAGTCAATAAAATAGTTAAATAGTCTTAGGGCCGGTAGCTGAGCTCGGGATTAGCTAAGTTCTAGATTTAAACCGGCTTTAGATTCTGAAGTCTAAAAAATGGCTTGCTGAGTCGTTAGCGAAGTCCAGAACTTTAGACTCTGGAACTTATTTGGCTGGTTAGACTCTGGATTTTAAAATTTGACTTGCCGAGTCAAGGATCCATAAGTCCAGGACTTAACTTAAGATTCTTGTTTCTTGCTGAGTCAAGGATTTATAGTTTGTAGGTCTCTGATTCTATCCTCTTATTCTCTCGATGTGAACCAATTGAAAGTTTTGTCCACACCAAATTATATCTTAAGGCCTAGTTGTAAGCAGGGTGGCTAGTGAACATGGATACCGAATAAACTAAGAATCGTACATAGATTTTGAAACAAAAATTGTTGATTCAGCCTATATGTGAATTTTTTGGGACTTTTAAATTTCATATCTTAAATAATCTCCATAAAATATGCCATTAATCGTCGTTTGTTCTCATTTTGCTTTGTTGGGTCGAGAAAGTTAAAGGCTAACAATTGCAGGGAATGATCAGTGATATTGCCGTAGACACGGATGTCACAGCAATTGTGGGATATTGCCAGATTTTCCATGATCAGGAGCTCACCGTTGCCGTTGTTGACTCGTACCATTACCGTTGTTTTTTTAACCAATGGTTCATAAAACAGCTGCTAAGAAACAAAAATTATGATTAGGCCTACTAACCTACTCAACTAATTTATTTCTATAGCCCCAAGATAGTTTTAAATGACAAACCCATTTTTTGTTGTTGACGAAAATCAAACACAGTTGTACGTTTATCAAACAATGTAGGTGCCATTGTTTGATGTTCAAAAGGGATTTATTTACCATTTTGTTCACACTACAGAGTTAGAGTTTAGCCTTACCCAACAGCTCTATTAAAAGCCATTTAATAACTTTCTAACTCTCTTTACATTGCTGGATTAGTTTGCTCGAAGGCTATGTTAGAAAAAATTTTAATTTCTCTCAAACTGTATTTTTTTGTAGGCAGTGCCAGGAGGATCTTACCCACCAGCACAATGGCCAATGACAGCGACCACTGCAGCGCAGCAACAGCAATGGCAGCAGTGGGAGCAATGGCAGCAGCAGTATGCCCAATGGCAAGCACAGTATGGTGACAAGGTGAGTTTAACTACACTGTGGTAGTCGATTTATTGGTGTTATGTCCTTTGGGAGTTATAAGCAATCAAGGATCAAGTGTAAAATGCTTCAAAGACATTAACACCTGAGAAATCCCCACAATAATTGCCTAGAATTTAGCCCATTAAAATTAAAATAACCGTTGACAAGAATTTTTGTGTACTTAATCACCACTAGGCTATTGTTTATTTATCATTAGGCTGATTTTAAATTGATGCTTTCTCATTGTGGTTAAAATAATGCCACTATAAGGAATATCATTACTGAAATCATCACCTAATGTTATCAGATCACCTAATCTTGAGGATTTCCAATCATAGGCCTAACTATTACATCCATTCTCTTGCATCTTCCTTTCTTCTTACACACATGACCGTGACATCACATTCCTTTAGGTCTACTTATCACAATCATAATACTATGGTATTCAGTACAAGTTCCTGAGACCTTTATATTTCAGTATTTTCCATTCCCGGTTTTTATATGTCCTTTTCAGTAGGACTACATTTGTACTAAATGTTATTAACTGAGAGTCTTCAGTTTGTGTACCTTGTTATGCACCAGAGCGTCGGTTGTGTTCTGACTTTCTCAATTATTATATTTCCTGAACAATTTTTTACCCTTAAATTAGTTTACAAATTAAAGTAACTTACTCAAAATAACACATTTTTTCAAGTTTACCACCTCCTGAAAGGAAGACAAATACATAACTTAATATCAGAAACGTTAAAATGATATATTATGGAAAAATTGGAACCTCATTTTCAAGTTATCTGGGTATATTTTCAATAAGCTAGAATTACCTCGACTGATCAGATCTTTTGTTACTGTATTGTGTTGATTGTCTGTGTGAGTGATGTTGAGTTGCATGTGTTTTGTGGTGTTTTGAGTTGTGTGTTTTGTGTTGTGCATCCACACCAGTGGACTCCTGAGATGGTTAAAAAGTTTAAGGTGGGTTGCAGCTGATTTTATAACTAGTTTACATTCTGTAGACAACCCTAGGTAACATTTTATACTGGAGTTTCAATAGTAAAACTACAACCAGAAATTATCACTATATATACTTACATTTTGTCAAGTGTTCCTTTTAAGCTTAGAGATTGTTTAGGCTTGTAAAAATCAAGCAATGATGTTGTCAACAAAGTCAAACGAATCTTCTGAATTGTGCTAAAAGAATTGCTAGAAAGAAGGGTAACCCGTAAATTTAATGGATTCTTAAATGTTTCCAATAAAATTGTTTAATCAAAATTGCAACTTCTTCCATTGTCAAATCCTTAAATACTTTAAACCCAATGCAGTTTTTTAGTGGTCTAAAACCTTTGATTTGAACTGATCAATGACATTAGTGGACTGATCCCATGATTTTAAAACCTTCCAATATCAATTGCATTATTTTAAAGTTATTATTCTGGAACGCTATAAAAGCCTTACAATATAAAACATTGGCAAAAAAACTTCAAGAAAATTTGCTTGCAGCTAACCTGTACTTGTATTTTGTTTAAAGATACAATTCTTACTAACTGTAAATATACGGAGATCTGAGAGAGTTAAATGGAAACAGAACAGTTAAATTAGAGAGAGGGAGAAAGAGGTATTGATTGAAAAACAAGTATTGATTAAAGACAAACATGGTCTGAAAATATTAAAAATTAAATATATCTGAAATGCCATTTATTGTGAAAATATATATTACCTCCTTCTAATGGCATTTATTTTGTTGGCAGTACCAGTCCATGATGGCGATGGGAGGTATTCCTACAGCTGCCGGAGTGGCACCCTTGACTGCAACTGGAGCCCCTCCCCTCCCAGGCACAGATAAGGGGTAAGTGATGCTTTTACAATATCAACTTCGTACACACATAGGCTAATTTGTTTCCAAGATTATTCAGTTAGCCTACATAATTGAGTTTTATGAACTGAAATCTGAAATTTATATAATTCATGAAAGTACAGTAGTACAACATGACATTGTTTAGTTCTCATGTTCCATTTTAGCGAATTTCCCTATAGGGAAGTAGCTATTACCGTAGGTCTCATGGTAAGACCTAAGCCCGGGACCGATTTACTTTTTCATTTTGATGTCCCCAGAGGCCAAAAACACCATTCGTTCAAATTTTTATATATCTATATATAGAGATATATATATATATATATATATATATATATGTGTCCATCCGCACGATAACTTGAGTAATTTTTGTCCGATTTTGATAAAATTTGGTTTGAAGGTGTAAGGCGGGATAAACTTGAATGAGTTCGCGAACCAGCGTGATCGGACTATGGGAACGGGTGTTTATGGGGGGTTTTATGGGGTAAAAATAGGTTTTTCCCATTTTTGACCCTAAAAACACAAAATTTCACAATTTCTTTTCAAACCATTTTGTAGAGCTTAAAAAAACAAATAATTTAGTATATTGAAGCGTTATTATGCGCCTAATTGTTACGGAGAAAATTCAAAAAAATTGTAATTTTAAAATTCCCATGTTATTCTTATGGAGAATACGTCAACTGTTGTAGTTTGCTTGTTTATGAACATATTTTGATCGATTTTGGAAAATACTTTTATTTCTTACTAAACTATTATCATTTTATAAAAAAAATCTTTTTTACCCTCCCTGTTGCAGCAAACCTAAGTACTCGTTAAACTAATTCTATTTAAATAGGAAATAAATGTGCTATTTTTAGGGAGGAATTTTAGTGTAAATCCAATCAGGTTAATGGAAATTCGCTTAGTCTGCAGGTTTGCTGCGGCGGGGGTATTATAAACATGTAACATCTTACTCTCATTGTAAAGCATAGGCCTACTATTTAGATGAATATCAAATTTACTCTTTTATTTAAAGAATTATCATTCTGTATTACATTACTAGATATATATAAAAAAAAAAAAAACTTTTAGTGTTTAGGCCTATTAATAACTATAGGCCTAAACAAATTCATAACTGTACAGAGATTATCTCATTTTAGTTATTTGATAAATTTGTTTATTAAAACAAATAAATGTTGATAATTATTTTTGTTTTTACAGAGCGGCTGGAGATTCTTCATCACAGGTAATTTTTAAATTTACCATTCAAAAGTGTAATTTTTACTCATTTTTCTTGCAACTAAAACTAAAAGAAGTTATTAAAATCTGATGAAAGCTCAGTAAATATAAGTGCATTTTATTTTAAAATCCACAGTATATTCTTTCCTTTCATATATTTGTACTCTTGTTTTAGTTTATAATAAGAAAATTAAAAGTTAAAGCCTTGATATAAAATTAATTGATAAAAACAAGGTAAGAATCTATGATAAAATTGTTTGTCTAAAAACTCCCTAAAGCCGAAATTAATAGTTTGAGAACATCTTAACAAACCATTTGAATACGTAAATGTGTGGTCGTCAGTAACTGAATTGTATTAGAAACTCTGTACCTATTGTAAAACTTGACAATTCCTTTAACTCACCTAACCTAACATAAACTAACCTAACCAACCTAACCTAACCTAACCTAAGTTAAGTTAAAGGATTGGTCAAGTATTACATTCTGGTTTACATTATCTGGTTTACATTTGGTTTACATTTTCTGGTGGTAAATTATTTGGTTTTACTCCTTAATAGCCGAACATCATTACGGTTTTCCTATTTTAAACCTCATCCACATGTTGCTGCATCAGTGGTTTTATACTATGGCTTTAATCTACATTATATTCTAATCACTTTCTACACTGTGGCCACTTGATCTACAGTTTTGTTATACGGTACTGCAATAAACTGACACAAGATTACCCTAGAATACAAGACCATTGAGAATAATGCTACAAGATTATTTGCTAAAAGTCCTTAAAATAAAACATTCTGTTAGAACTTAAGTTGTAAAAGGCATACAAAAATATTATTTGCTATTATTAAATGTTTGTTGTAATGTTTAGGACAAAAGTAATAAGAGAGGATATGAAGGAGGCAAACCTGATACTGACACAGCCAGTCCTCAACAAGCCAACAAAAAAGCCAAAAAAGATACAAAGGTAAATCCTTTCTCTACTGTGACATTTAAATTATGTCTACTTATTTTTTGAAAAGTATAATGTATTGTTTAAATAAACATGTATCTTAGATTTCACGAGGTAATCAGATCTGAATTATAGAAACTCAAACTAGAATAATGAAAAGGAGACAGAGTTTAGCTAGCTTACCTGAGCAAGTTAGTCCAGCCTGGGGCTAACAGATACAAAATACAAATCAAATTATTTTTTTAGTTCCAACTCACAAAATTTTTATGTATCATAATATTTTATAGGTATGTAAGCGCTTTATACTGATATATAGTTTTCAATTTCTAATATACCTTTTTTAGTTTGATAAATAAAAAATGTAAGGATCAGTCTTAAACTAAATATTACATTTGATTAATATTCTTCTTTAGGAGACTTTGGAAGAAATGGCTGAGCAAGAAAAAGCTTTTGACGAACAGTTCAAAAACTGGGAAGCGCAGTTTATGAAGTGGAAAGAACAAAATATAAATCACCCTGATAAGGTTAGTATTAGGTAGTGTTAAGAGGCAATAGTGATAATTATTATTTAACAACTACAAAAAGCTAGCTCTAGGCAGGCCAGTAAAGATGATTTAGTTGAAGATACTTGAGCAATCTCAAGTCTATTGGTACACAAAGAGGTAACAATGCAAGAGAAGGGTGATTGTTGTACAATGGTAGTGGATCTTTTAACTAAGGATCGGCTTTTACCTTTTCTTTGCCACTATTTACCATTCTAATATAAATATTTTGGGAGGTTTTTAAAAATTTTGAACATATTACAACATACAACAGTTGTCATCAAGCCACAAGTGTTAAAGGATTTGAGTTGTAATCTGTTACTGTATGTTTGACAGGAGCAGTACAAAGAGTACGAAGCTAAGTGGGAGAGTTGGAGGGAGCAGCTTGTACAGCGAAGGGAGCAGATGAAGAGGAAGAGGGAGCAAAAACTAGCAGAGGAGAGGGTAAGATACAACTACCTGTAGACATCCTGCACAATCAATTATGTAACATAGACACAAGAACCTAGGTTAGCCATTAACTGGTATGGTCTAGTTGTGATTGAGTTATTTTAATATCCTTGAGAGTGCAGGTCAGTAGCATTTTAGGTACTCTTCCGCCTTACTTGCACCCAGTGTCAGTTGAGAATTGACCTTGACTGTTGTATGTTGTTATTGTGTATTTGGGTCCTAAGAGCCATACTTTGCAGCCATACTACTAATGTAATTTTTCGTTGTTTATTTGTGACCTATCTATACTCCGCTACATACTGTGATTATTTAATAGTGGGAAAATAGTTTTTGGAGTTTAGAGGACTGATATGATTGTTTCATTAGTGCAAAAAAATGAACGATGAACAAAGTTATATTTTTTTTTAAGATGATGTCCATTTGTTCTGACGCTCCATTATATCACTCGGACTATGACACAACCAGTGAGGAAAGTGCTACATCGTCCCCTTATTGGACATGATGATATAGATGAAGTACATTGTATATTGTACATGGTCGAGGACATGATCATGAACGAGGAAGTGGGAAAGGGAGAAGTAGAGGACAAGGTGTAGGAAGAGAAAATGGCAGAGGACAAGCTGATGAGACCTTTGTTGATGATGATGATTTGACAATTTGACTATGGAAAAAATAGATTTTAGTAGGCTAAGGCAGCTCCTGCATTATGAGGAAGCTTCAAACATTATGACACAATTTTGAGGAATCATAGGCAACGCAAAAGAACAAAAAAACTATCAACCCCCATTGATACTTGGAGAATTCTTATAACCGATGGATGATTTGTTGGACAAAATCGTATAACATATTAATCAGAAGATAACACAGATGGCTTCTTGCTAAAGAGAAAATGCCTTCGATTGCCAGTTTACGAATCATACAGATAGAGTTGAAATGAAGGCACTCATTATGCTACTTATCAGGTGTATTAAAATAAAGCCACGAGGATGTGCAATCCTTATTTGCTACTGATAGGACTGAACGAGACATTCAGTTTTCATAGTACTATGACTTTAAATGATTTTTGTTTCTCTTTTGTGCCATACGATTTGATGATGCTGAAACTAAAGTGTAGAAAGGTTTACTGATGGACTGATGGCCTTGCACATTTTTTATATGTGTTCAAAGTGTTCATTTACAGATGTGAGTAATAATATACAATTGACAAAATGCTTGTAGGCCTACGTGGAAGATGCAAATTCTGTATGCGTATGAAGTTTAAGCCTGCAAACAAGGAATAAAGCTATTCCGCTTATGTAATGCTAAAACACACTGTCTTTCGATTGCATCTGTAAGGGACAGGGTGTATACCAAATCCAGATAATTTGTTAATCCTCACACTAGTATAGTATGCAATAGATATATCATATGGCAATTTCACTATTTAAATGTGCACGGCTGTTGATTTCAGGCTGCTCAGTTGGCAGAAGCTACTAACACCGCAGCAGCAGAAGCTTCCAAGAGTGCCGCGAGTGTGACCACCACTCCTGCAACTGCGGCTAGTCAGATGTTCCCCACCATGGGCTACCCTCCACCCTCTATCATGCCTCCTGCAGGCTTCCCAGCACCCTTCCCAGGCCCAGGCTACCAGGGCTACGGCTTCCCAGGGATGATGGGAGTGCCTCCTGTGGGAGGGATGGTGGGAGCGAACCCTGACCTGGTCAACCATCCACCAGTCATGCCACCAGACTTATCTGTGAGTGAAATAAGCTCTTCAAACCATTTGTATACATAGCATTTGTAAATAATTGTGGCTTTAGCCGCCTACCTGCTTGTGGAGATTGGAACCTTGATACTTGGAAAAAGATTTTTATTATAATGATGATAATGATGATTTATTTGCACATAACATACAAATTTGTGAAAATCACACGTACAGGTGCTTCGTCTTGATTTCTTAAAAATTTATTGTCTGTCCTTAATTATTCTAAAACATAAATTAGTTCCCAAGATGTTGATCACAGTCTTAAATTTAGTGCTACAATACAGCATATTCAAACATAACAAGGTATAGAATTTGTAAATCTACCGGTAACAAAATGGCAACAACAAAATTAACAGAGAATAAATATATGAACTATATACAATAATATACGATTTTGACACAAACAAATAATTCCCGTAAAGTGTTTGAATGTGATAAACATATGACAGTAGATAATATAAAACAAAAAAAATTATGTTTGGTTTATGTTTAAAAGTGAATAAAAAAAACTAAGGAGCTGTGTAATAGACTTAAAGAAGTAGTTTTTATTTACAGTAAGAACAGGTAGTAAAAAGAGACAAGACTAGTTTGTTTTTATAACAGGCATCAAAACAAAAAAAAAAAAAAAAAGTAACAGGTTTATAACCACTATGTTTTGAAATATAATATAACTCAAATATTTAACTGTTCTACCAATGTGAATCTGTATAATGTATTGCAATAATATTACCGTATTAGTTCTCTACTGTTTAGTTCATTGAGTAATTTTAATTACAGGTCCCAGACCAGAATGCACCCCTTAAAATGAATGAACCTCCGCCAAGTTTCCAAAGAGCTCCTCCTAAAGGTATTCCCGGCCTAGATCTTCTTGCTGGAGGAGGTGGAAGGTCAGCTGAATCACGAGACAACCAAGAGAGGGGCAAAAAACCTCCCCAGGTGCCTGTGACTGAGCCGTTGATGCACTCTTCTGACGACAAGAACCCGTTTAACTTTCCTCCACCCAGTCAAGATAATAGCCAACAAGGAACAAGGAATTACCAGTCAGGCCCTCCAGGATATCAAGGGAATTTTCAAGGCCCGCCGAACAATTTTCCATCAGGGCCCCCCAACTTTCAAGGTGGACCGAACAACTTTATGCCCCCAAATATGCAAGGACAGAACAACTTTGGACCACCAGGGTTTGGACCGAGGGGTGGTCCTCCCTTCATGGGTCAAGGACCTCCAAACATGCAAGGACCTCCAAACATGCAGGGACCCCCTCCTGGTCCTGGGAGCAACCAATTCAATAATCGTCCACCATTTAATCAGAACCAAGGAAACTTCCCGCCAAAACCAAATTTTTCTGAAAACAGAAATGAGCCAAGGAAAAATTTTGGTCCTAATAACCAAAAGAACTTGCCAAGTTTAATGGACGGTTTTGATCCAGATCAAGCCCCGCCAAACTTAAACCTAGAAAGAAAAACTCAAGATAAGCTTAAAGAGTGGGAAAAATACTACAGTGAAGAAAATGAATATGAAAATGATCCGTTTGCAGAGAACAACGACGAAGAAAAGTACAATGACTCGGAGGATAGATACGGAGGTCCTCCTAATTTCAAAGGGGGTCCCCCTGATAGATTCAAAGGAGGTCCATTTGGATCTGGTCCTCCAGGCAGAGGATACAACAACATGGGGCCTGAAATCGATGACAGAGGGGGTCCGAGGGGAATGGATCGCTTTGACAAAAATGCAGGAGATAGAGGCAAGTTTAGGGGCCCACCTGGAAAATTTGATGGACCTCATAACAGGTTTGACGGCCCACCCAGTCGTGAGTTTGGCGGTCCTCCTGGAAGAAAACCAGATGGACCACCCGGGAGATACGATGGCCCGGGGCATTACCCTGGTGATCGAGAAAACGATGATCCGTTCTCAAACTATGACAGGTTTGGTCCTGATGGTGAGCGAGGACCAAGGTTCGTTCGTGATGGCAGAGGGGGCGGAACTGACCGAGGACGAGGAAGCTTTGGTGACTTTGATGAACCTGAAAATCCTGACTTTAGAGGACCTGACAACTTGGGAGGTAGAGGAAGCAATAGAGATGATAGGTTCGGTCCTGGTCCACCATTTGGTGATGACTTTGCAGGTCCCGGAGGAAGACCTCCAATGGACTACGGTGGCAGACCTCCACCAGACCATGACAATAGGAGAGGACCACCAGGCAAAGGCCCAGGGATGTTCCCACCGGTGAGTAATACAAGTAGTATCAAGTGTATGTAACTAACGGTTAGTAAATTAGTAGGTAAGGATAGCATTCTTACCTAAATTAGGAAAGGCGTTGGCGTTAGGAAGAAAATGCTTATGTAGTAATTGTTAAAATATTTTACTGTCATTGATAGTACCTTTAGTTAAGCATGCTATCCTGAACTGTTAAATACCTAGACTTAAAAGCACATATTATCTAAATCACTTAATACTCTCCTCAACACTATACATTTATTAAATATGCGGTGTTTACTTTATAAATCTGTTGTAATTTTTGTAATATTCACCAACAAAATTGCATACCCCATACATTTATTAAACTTATAGAGGTAAGCTAGTGAGCAGCTCAATTTTTGAACGTAGTTGAGCCTAGCCTACATACAAGCTTGAGAGATCAAGCACAAAGATGGAAAATTGAGCTCAAGCCCAGCTTTTACGATTGCAAAACACGTCTGCGCTGTGACAGGAGATAGGCTATCTATGATTTTGCCGTGATGGCGGATGACAATGATAACATTTCCATGACTGCAGAAGACAATGATAATGACCACACGACCACGTGAGATATTCAGGAATTTGCCATGATTTCGGAAGATTGACGTTTCCGTGACCACGGGAGACAACAATAATGTCTTCAAACGGCAGGAGATATTCAGGATTTTGCCGCTATTGCAGGAGACAGTGATGGATGACGTTTCTGTTACTGTGGGAAATACATTATATTTACCGTGATCGCGATAGACTTATTATTTGTAATTACTAGGGGTGTGCGATTACTACTTTTTCTTTTCGAATCGAATAGAGAGAATTTCAAATTGAATACTTTCCCTCGAATAGTATTAGAATAGTGAACATTTTTTATCCGAATACTAACCCTCAAATAATGAAAACTTTAAATCAATATCAAGTCAACTCTCAATAACTTAATTACTAAAACTGTTGGTATATTTTTTTCAGAATAAGTGTAGGTTGTAAATGTATCTTTTAGGGATGGACGGGATTGAATTTTTAGTTCGGGACGGGACGGGATTTTTATTTCCTTCCCGATTTTCGGGACGGGACGGGATATTTTTCTGTGCATAAAAAGAATGTCTTGAGTATTGCAGTTACCAAAAAAGACATACAAAATCAATTTTTACCGTTTGTGGCACTGATTTATTAAAAACCAAAAAATGGTTAACAATTTACAGGTACCTATAGAAACTTGTGACTCGCGGTCGAAATGACTGGCGGTCACGGTGCGATCGTCAAAATGACCGGTGGTCACGGTGCGGTCGTCAAAATGACCGCGGTCACAGGGTGATCGTCGGAATGACTCGCAGTAACGGGGTGATCGTCGGTATGACTCGCGGTCACGCCATGATCGTCGGTATGACTCACGGTCATGGCGCGATAGTCGGTATGACTCCGCGGTCACGGCGTGATTGTCGGTATGACTCCGCGGTCACGGGGTGATCGTCGGTATGACTCGCGGTCACGGGGTGATCGTCGGTATGACTCGCGGTCACGGCATGATCGTCGGTATGACTCGCGATCACAGCACGATCGTCGGCAACTCCACGGTCACGTCGTGATCGTCGGTATGACTCGCGGTCACGGTGCGATCGTCGGTCCAATAGTCACGGTCACGGCGCGATCGTCTGCAGGACTCCACGGTCACGTCGTGATCGTCGGTATGACTCGCGGTCACGGCATGATCGTCAGTATGACTTGCGGTCACGGCGCGATCGTCGGTATGACTCGCCATCACGGCATGATCGTCGTTATGACTCCGCGGCCACGGCGCAATCGTCGAAATGACTTCGTCTCCTGCGTTCGCAGACCTATCGCTCGCAATAGCGGCGTCATCGGCACTCGCGAAGCGGCAAAATCGCCGACGATCGGACCAAATCCCGTCCCGAAAAATTCCCGAATCAAAGGTAATCCCGTCCCGATAATCAGGAATATTTTTTTCCCGAAAAATTCCCGAAATTTCGGGATCCGTCCATCCCTAGTATCTTTTGTTTATTTAATTTAGGCCTAGTTTAATTCAATAGGTAACTGAACTTAGATTTATAATAAGTAAAGGTACAAACCTGAACCAAGTTTTATTAGTCAAAATTATAAAGCACTACCAATAACAAATTTTGTAAAACACATTCAACCAATTGGGCAGTGATAATCATTATAACCACATAAAAACGCACATTGTTTTCTTTTACTAAGTAGGGATTTAGGCCTACAACTTACTGTCAGCCCTAAGTTTATGTTTTAGAACATAAACTTTAAAAAGGTATGCCTAAAATAAAACTTGTTGTCATAACTTAACATAGCCTAATCTCATGACTTGGTCTTAGGCTACGGGACAACTAGGTTTGAAGGTACAAGAACCTAGGCCTTATATTTAACCATTTACAGTACCTAGTTTAAATCTTCGATTGAAATAATTAAGCCCCTTTTAGCCTAAATGTACCGTAGGCTAACTTAAACTTAAACTTAAACTGAGTTCATTAAGTTACATAGGAAATGTATAATTATTTAACTTTTAACCTACTTTTAAGGACTTTTTACATGTGTTGCATTCTGCAACAGAGCCCTTTTTGCCAAAAAAATTCCAAATTATTATTATTATTATTATTTTACCTTCCAACGGTCAAGAACAAATTTACAATATGTTGTATACATGACTTAATCTAACTTAAACATATACATACAAAAATAATTTTTGACAAAGACATGCAGTAAGTAAATACAATTTGAGCAGTAGGCTATCAAAATAGACGTACACAAAGCAGAACTTTAAATAATAACCAATGAACAAGAACAACAAACAAGAATAGTAAGTGAAAAAATAAATGAACGACAAACAATAAATATATGAGTTTCAACAATAACAATAAATATAGGAGTTTTACAATAACAATAATATATGAATTTCAACAATAACAAAGAAAACAAGACTTGTAAAAAGAGAGAAACATTCATTGGTTTGAAACAAATATAATACAGTAATTTTGGGTGGTAACTATGATGAGCGGTGGAAGTCAGCCAGTACCCTCTTCCGGATTGTTTTTTGGCTGTCTGTGTAAGTTTAGATTTTTACTTATTTTTAAAATTCTTGTGATGATGTTGAAGGCACATTTAGGCCTAAATCGGCTTCTTCATCTGAATCCGTCTGGTTTCATTCAACCAAACTTAAATGAAGCCTAGGCCTACAACTTTTAGGCAATATCTATCTGTATAAAAGCAACTGTTGTCAAAATATACACAAATTTTTACTAAGTTTAGCTGAAATACTTAGCGCAGACGTGCTAAACAAACTGTCTCTAAACTCCAACCTCAAAACTTCTTGTCTTGTAACACAGCTTGCGCTAATGCAATAGAAAAAAGAAAGAACAGAAATTGTTGTCTGCTAGAGAAGCAGAAGAATAGAAGCAGACTTCCATAGCAAGTGTGAATTACGTTTTACTCTGGGATCACGGCAAATCTATCTAGCAGACAACATTTGTTTATATCATATTTCAAGTTTATAAAGGTGACGGTGCGTGTTTTGGTACCATGTATAATAGAACTCAGTATAATTTGTTCCGGTATCTTATTCGCCATCACTTTTTCAGTTTTACTTCCCTTGAAATAGTCACATCAGTGTCGTATGCTAGATTTATGGAGGTCTACCGTGATCCCAGAACAAAACGTAACTTGAACCCGATTGCCATCGCCAAGAACAATGAATGCTAATGTAGTGTTTTGCAGCTCATAATGACACGATTACACAATTGTTGAAAATGAAACGTTGTCACTCGATAGTCGATAGAAACTGATTACTATTCGTATTTTAGCCCGATGGTAATTTTTATTAATTACTTGAAACACCTTTTTGGCCAACTTGATTTGTTTTATGTTTTCCAAAGCTCCAACTTGTGACCAGATGCGAAGTATTCGAAAAGGTCCGAACTATTCGACCACCGTCAAACTATTCAAAAAATCGAATACTCGCAGATAGAACGAATAGAATTGAATAGATTTTATTGAAAATCAAATCAGGCAAATGGAAATTTGCTTAGTCTGTAGGCTTGCTTATGCGGGGGTATTTTAAATTTATTGTGCTTATCTTAAAATTATTGGTCTATTTTTTCAGAGAATGGATGGGATGGCTGATCCAATGTCAAAAGGTAAGAAAGAAATAAGAATGTAAATAAATAAATAAACATATAGCGTTCACATAACGTTTTTTTGAATCATAGCATAGCTAAAAAACAGATGACATAGTCACGATTAAAAACTAACCTAAAATATACAATAATATGTCTTATGCACTAAAATACATTGAAACAAGTTGGAAAAATGTTCTTAACAGTAAAAGTAAAAAAAATATTTTCTATGGGTAGTAAGACTAAGACAAATAAGAACTTTGTACAAAATAAAAGTCAGATTTTTTTCATAGTTTCGATAAGGTACTGTATTAATCTACACTGTAATATTTTTTACTAGTCTGAAAATCAGCAAGGCTGCTTTTAAAAGATTTATTATGAATTAATAGTTTTTAGAGTTGTGGTTAGTTTATTAAAATCTTTTACCCCATATATTTAGGAGTTTTTTCTACAAGCTTCAGTCTTTTCTACATCGGTGTCTCGGGTATTGGAAAGTATACTTAAATCTAGTGTTATAAATGTGGTCAAAGTTTTCACTAATATAGTCATCAACATTTGACTGCACTGCTAACAAATGTTTTGTAAATTATTAAATTCGGAATAGTCATAATATTCAATTTTATAAAAATTGTTTTGTATGAAGACCTCCATGGTAAAAAGGTCATAATTCTTATAATTTTTTTTCAATTTTAAACTCTTCAAAAATTTCAGAGGAAAATCCCCAAGAATAAGAATACGTTTAATGGAGTTGTTTGAATTGTCAGTATTGTGAGTGATTACAAGATTTAAACAATTAAAATGTATTATGATTGATACAAAGTTAAATCCATTGATATTACAATGTTTACTTTTTAATTATTAATGCCCACTTCTTCTGATGCAAACATATTTTTTTCTGTTCATACAATTCTTCTTTGAAATTGTAGTTTAAAATTTAATTTTTGTTAACATTTGTAAATAATTTGATTTTTTATGTCTTGAACTTTTAAAACCTAAATAATTGTTAATCAAATTTACAATATTTATTTCATATTTTCAGAATTCCCACGTCATGGACCACCTACAAATGATGGGTGAGTGATTAAATATTGCTTAAGAATTGTTTTGATTTTATGGTTATTTCTATTTCAAAATTGTGGTTTTGGTATGATTAATATTTACTTGTGGTCAGTTTGTAGTCAAATGCTGAATAATTGCTTCATATAAAACAAATCATTAGTAAATAATTAGGGATGGACAAGATTGTATCTACGATTCCGTTCAGGACGGGAGGGGAGGGATTTTTATTTCCTTAACAATTTTTAGGACAGGATCGGATTTTCCCCCCCATGAAAGTGTGTTAGATTTAAAATCTTGAGTAAACATTTTGCAAATAACAATTATGAATCACAATCGAAATCAGTTTGCAGTTTTGGTGGCGGTTTTCTGTAGAAAACCTATAATGAGTAAAAATATACAGGGTAAGAAAAACTGTTACCTAAAATAATTTAATATATGGTTCAATTTAACTGTGAAATGTTGGACTAATTGGAATCTTACATTATAATTCTAATTAGATCTAAAACACTGCTAGCTAACCATAAACAGGTATTCAACAGACTATCACTGCATGTTTAAAACTGTGTAGGGTTTAAGGCCTGATATGGTTACCAATAGAAACACAGTATTAGTTTTAGTAATCATAAATTTTCTAATGTACCGTCAACATGCCCCGCGGTCACGACGCCATCATCAACACATCTCATGGTCCAGGCGCCATCTTCAACATACCTTACGAGTTGTATTGCAGCGCACAGTCGTGAATATATCATACTTCATTGTAGAGACTCTTCACTCGCAAAATTGCTGACGATCAGAACAAATCCCCTTCTGAGAAAATCAGGAATCAAATGAAATTCCGTCCCGATAGTCTAAAGTTTATGTTCCCTATAGTTCGGGACTTGTCCATCTCTATATATAATAGGCAAGCATGTATCTTTAAAACCCTTTTTCTCAGCTTGTGTGCATCACATAGAAAATCTACGCATACTGTTAGAAAGATATTTGCCTGTAGATGTGCAGAATTGTTTTATAAATTAAAATAGACCCAAAAATAAGCAAAAAATTTATTAAAATAAAAATAAAATTAACATGGACCTTATGGGTTGCTATGCTGGTGACGAAATATAAACAGAAAATCAAAACAAATGGAAGAAACTCCAATTACATGTTTTATTTATTGGGTGGGGTGAAAATAGAGAAGTTTTCATTCAAGAGTTGACCTCTAGTCCCTAAATAAATAATTGAACTAGTCAGTGATTTTTAACTACAACTTGTCCCAATTTTATATTCTTATAGCTTCAGAGTCATACTAACACTTCCTTCTAGCTTGAGATCCCTTTTTGACAACATTTAAAGTTGTTACAGTATTGCATGTTTTAATGAAGATGGCATTTTCCCCTTTTAATAGATTTTGACCAAATGTTTCATAAGCTTTTCACCACAGCCACAGCTTTGCAGCTTATACCACTCAATAAAACACAAATTTAACATCAATAGTATGAAACAGCCTTCAGTAGCCTTTCAGTAAGAAACTTTGCAAAATGTAATATTATAAACTATAATCAAGTAAAATATTAACAGATTTTTGGCTTGTATTTTAAAATTAGATTTTTAGAAAGTGGACCTATCTCATTTCAATTTTATCACCCATAATTACGTTTTTTATGAATCATTTTTGACATTTAATTACTCCATTCCAGGAATTCCTGTGTTGAATCACAAATAGAAACTAACACTAGAAGAAATGACAAAGGCCCTGAACCTAACCCAGAGTAAGCTTTTTCATAGTTGAGCTGTTCAGTCTTGTGTATATATTTTCATTCTACAGTCCCTCTTAAACAGGGTTTCCTTAGTTCCTATTAACCCTGTATTGTTTATGGCGCAAGACTCATATTGTCTGTGAAAGTAAAAAGGGTCAATCCATTTCAAGAGGTCCAAAGGTGGTTGCTTCATGATTTTTGTTTTTTTTTCATATTTTTATCCTTGAAAGTACAAATCATAAGAAGTACAAAAATACAATTATTTTATTTTTATTATTTTTTCCAACCGTATGGCGGCCATTTTCTCTTTGCTTTTTACAGGATAATGCTCTTACTTAGTACTAAATCTGAGCCAAATTTGAAATTTTTATTGCCCAACAGAGATATTAAACATCAAAATTTGAAATTTTCAAAAATTTTAAGATTTTGAAATTTTTTATTTAAGACCCTATGCAAGTCCACAACTTGAAACTTTGAGAATTTGGAGTACACATATACAACTATCAAATAAAAAAATAACAAACACATAGTCAGTTGCCTTTATGTAAAAAAAAAAATGTTAAAAATCAATTTTCGTAACGCCGTCTCATCAAACTTCAAACAGGTAATTAGACCTACATATTTAGTTTAAAGTGCATAATTATATTACCATATTAAAGTTTAGATCTTTCTGAAGAGATTGGTTTTTATTTTAATGTTCTAGGATTTGTAGAAGCGGAGATATTTAATTTGACGCAGAACTCTGAAATCGCTGAAAACGGGCATTCGAGCAACAAGAAAATGGCCTCCATACGGTTGGAAAAAATAATAAAAATAAAATAATTGTATTTTTGTACTTCTTATGATTTGTACTTTTAAGGATAAAAATATGAAAAAAAATAAAAATCATGGAGCAACCAATTAATTTATTTCTGGACCACTTGATATGGATTGACCCAAAAGCCAGTAAGGGCTTTAATGTCCAAAACAAATATTTAAGCTGTTACATAATGTTCACAACTCAATATTTGGCTGCTGAATTTTGCATAACGCACATCATTGGACACTGTGTTATTATGACCCTTTGCCTCAGTCAAACATTCAACTTTTTTACTTTATGAGCAGCTTACATTTTGGTTGCAGACATTGTGACTCGTGCACATGCAATACTTCCTCATTAAGGAAAGCTTTTTCATTCTGTGATTTAGCAAGTACTGTAGTGATTGAAGCAAGTTTATATTCCCAGCTTGGAGATTTTATGATGGTTAGTGTTTTCTCTGCTTAATGCACAATGTGCTATTGTACTGTTAATAATTGTGTATTTGTCTACAAGTTTTCTTTTATTAAATTTTGATAGCATAATTATTGCTAGGGCCAATATACAGTATACGATGATATTAGTTTTTGTCGTCTGCTCTAAAAAATAATATTCAATCATACACACCAGAGCCCCATTTGTACTAGACCCTGTTTAAAAATTATAAAATTTGTTGGATTAGCTAAAAATACGGAAAAATTACATAAAAAGTAAAAGAATACATTTTATTGACTGTAGATAGCCATATTGCTTCTGCTAGCAGCTTTACTTGCTATTAAGCTTTCTAACTTGTAGCTTAGCTGGAGTGGAGGGCCCTTCTTAAATCAACGGTGGAAGTTGACAGAGTTAGTGAGGTTGCACACAACACCTGTTTTGCTTCTTTTATCTTTTCTTGCATTGAATTGGGATTAAATATAGACATGTTGTATTGAAATATTTGTATTGTAAAACACTTAAAACCATATAGCCTATCCTAAAAAATTAAAATGGCCAGATAAAATAATATTCCTTTATGCCGTAGAACTCCAATTATCCAAACTCCAACTATCCGAATCACCGATTATCCGAATTGCTTACAGCTTACAGAAATAAGTTAAAAAACAAAAAAAAAAAACCTGTCTTGCGATTGTGTTGACGCCATCATCGTCTCCCGCTGTCACGGTAACATCGTCATCATTTTTCGCGATCATGGTAAAATGTTTAATATACCCCACGGTCGAGTTGACACTATCATTATCTCCCTCGGTCACGTAATATCAATCGTACTCCGTGATCGCGGCGTTAGTTTTCCGATCGCAAAATCGTTGCAGACGCAATAGTAAAAGCTCAGCATGTTTTCTCTAAAAGACTCCGAATTTCGGTAAAAATCCAATTATCCACATTTTTTTATTATGTGAATGGGGCCCCGTCCCAATTGATTAGGAATATTCAGATAATTGGAGTTCTACTGTAACTGGTTTTGCTGTTATAATTTATTTTTGTATTTAATTTTTAATTTCAACTTTATTGCCAAATTAAAGGGAAATAAATCCAAGAAACAATTTGCTTATAATAATAATAAAGTACAAATATTAGCCCCCTATAAACAATATTCAGCATTACAAAATAAATGCATGTTAGTCAGTATTTGTGAACAATCAGGTAAATAATTTGTTTACAGGTTGAATAAAGGGGGTCCTCCGCCGTTTCCTCATGAACTGAAGCCTACCCTGATACCTGGTGGTGGTGGGCCGCCTGCTGGTCCCAAGTTGATCTCTGACGCCCCAGGAGATGTCACTGTGATAGACTACTCTCACAGACCAGCTCCGCTCAAAGCTAATGCTACAGGTGAATCAACATGCTCATACTAGCCTCATGATATCAAAATAGGCAAGGAAGGACAAAATTCAAAATTTCCGAGAGGCGAAAATTGTACATTAGTTATAGGCCTAAGATGGTGGAAGTTAAATAAAACTTTAGAATATTCCAGTACATACTTTCAATAATTAGTCTGTACATTCAAATTAAAAGGTGATAGTAAGTGTTTCATTCTAATTCTTATCCAATCAAAATCCCTGAACCAATTAGGAGACTAATTAGTGTTACCTTGGTGGTTTTTAACCATAATAGCTGTAAGTTAGTTTAACGTCGTGCTAGGGCAGACCGAACACACTTGTACTGGTAGCGTTCACCCATCTGCTGCCTGTCTAGTTATTTACATTTCACACAACCTTAAGGCCGAGCCACGCAGCAACTGCTGATGTTCTTGGCCCTACCCGCTGAAGAAATAGTCAAATAATGCAATTAGAAAGATAATCATTTGTTGTGTTCATAAATACAATAATTTTAATTGTAAAGAACCAATTTATCAATCTGTAAGAATCAATTTATATTTTGCTCTGTAAACCATATTTTTGTTACAGAGAAAACGTGAAATGAGAGAAACTTCAGAAAGGAGCAATAATACTTTTGAAATATTGAAAGAATATGAGAGAGATAATGCACACACTTTTACAATATTAACAAGACAACAACGAACTGTTTAATTTTTAACACAACATGTGATTTTAACAATAATATAAAACAGTGACCATTTACATTTTTTTTAAATATGTGTCTATGTAGAGTACATTTTATAAGCCAATTAAACCAAAGATCATGAAACAAACACTTTTAATTTAGTGAATACTCTGTTTCTGTTAAAGAAATAAACTACAGTTCTGAACTTGTGTGTATTCCGTGTAACTAGTTAGATTATGATGAAACAAGAGTTGGGTCTGTGTCAGGTTTCAAACGTTAAATTCCCTTAATAATTACACTAAGTCTGCTTCGTGGCCCACCTTTTTTCCTATTTTGGGCTTTTGTTTTAGTTTTTGCAGGGCCTCAATTGTGGTGGATAGATTCTTTATCCTCATGTTTCAAATGAGGAAACCGTCAACTATTTCTGGCAATACACATTCTTTAATGTAGAGTGTAGAGCTTTACTAGATTTGGTCGTACTTTCGCTCAGAAGTCCTCATCAATAAGGGCCTTTTCTACCGAAAACAACAAAATATTACCACAACCATTTGGACATGTTTAATAATTGACCTTGAACTTGATGGAAGAAGTCATGACTTAAGTTAGTCAGTCTAAGTTTTCTGCTGACGAGTTCCAAACATGTGGTTTTGTGAGTTGCTGAGTGGTCTTTGATAAACTTATCCTTTATTGTATGTAAGTAAACATTTGACTTCTAACATTCCATCAGTTCAACTAATCCATCTGGGCCAGCCCTTATGAATTGATAAGTTTCGTCCAGTAGTTGTAAAGTTTTCAGTGTGAGAACACTCATCATTTTCATAGTAAAAATATGGATCGCCTATCAATTTATAGGTTATTAGGTTCTTTAGAAAAAGCAGAGTGTGAACACCGCCGATAGCGGTAAATCATCACAGATGTTGCCACTATTGCTGGAAATCACAACGAATGTTGCTGCGATAGCGAGAAATCATCACAGATGCTGCTGTGATTGCTGGAAATGACAACGGATGTTTCTTCTGCGATTGTGAGAAATGACCAGGAATGTTGTTGCTATCGCTTGAAATCACTACGGATATTGCCGCAACTGTGGGAAATCATCACGGATGTTGCCATCATCGAAAGATATGATCATTGAGGGGCTGCTAACGCAAAACATTATCACAGAATTCGCCAAAGAGTTTTTAATATAATTGGAGGTATGAATAAGAATCACAAAAAAAATTTGGCTTGTTGCAGCAAACCTAAGTAATCGTTAAACTAATGTTATTTAAATATAGAATAAATATGACATTTTAAAGGAGATTTTTCAGTGAAAATATAATCAGGCAAATGGAAATTCAATTAGTCTGTAGGTTTTACACGGTAGGGTTATTTTTTTCTTGACACAATTTCATGTTAGGAGTAAATGGTTAATGTGTGGTAATTGATGATAGGGAACCATGAATGTTGGATATTATCCATCTTCATGTTAATATTAATATATCAAAATAGCAAAACTTTGGTAGTTTGTACCAACATTGTTCCTTTAGGTAACAAATTATTGAGGCCTTTTTTAATCTAAGTTTGAGCACTAAATAGTTGAATATTTTGCAGACTTGGACATTCCAGTGATGATTCAGCCGATGCACATGTTTGACTACCAACACGGGGCTAACCCTGGTCCTCCACCGTTCATCAAGTCCTCCTTCCTGCCTAGAGGCCGAGACTTTAATGACATTGGTAAGCGATCATGTCAGATTCAAGACTTTTGAATTGTGCTTGTTTTAAATATAATTTTAAATTATCTACATTAAAACAAAGTTTAGCCATTAATATTCTATCTTACTCATTACTCCTTTGGCTATTCATACCAAAGAAAGTGTTAGTAAACACATAGTGGAGTGGCAAGGCTAGAGCAATGCTGAGTGGGTTTAAAATAACACATGTACGAGGAAGGTAAAAGTATGTCGAGCCTCAGCAGTAACATTAATAAAATTATAATAAAAAGATGTATTAATTTAATTGTTTACATTAATAACATAAATTTAACCAGGGTGTCTAGTAGTCGGGAAAGTCGGGAATTAGTATTGAATTTCAAAATGGTCTTGAAAAGTCGGGATTTAGTCTTAAATTTGATTTCAAAGTCGGGAATTTTCATGATTTTGCCACGATCGTCGTCTTGCGTTTACGTAACCGCGAAAGCCAATGATGATGTCTACACGGCCTCGGTAAATGTTCACGATTTTGCCGCGATAGTGGACGACGACGATGACGTTTCTGTGACAGCGGTAGACGACGATGACGTTACCGTGACCGCGGGAGACGACGATAACGTTTCCGTGACCGCGGGAGACGACGATGATGTCTACACGGCCGCGGGAAATGTTCATGATTTTGCCGTGATCGCGGACGACGACGATAACGTTTCCGTGACCGCAGGAGATGACGGTGATGTCTAAACAGCCGCGGGAAATGTTCATGATTTTGCCGCGATCGTGGACAACGACGATGACGTTTCCGTGACCGCAGGAGACTACGATGACGTTTCCGTGACCGCGGGAGATGACGATGATGTTTCCGTGACCGCGGGAGGCGACGATGACGTTTCCGTGACCGCGGGAGACGACGATGATATCTGCTCAGCTGCGCGAAATGTTCATGATTTTGTCGCGATCGCGGACGACGACGATAACGTTTCCGTGACCGTAGGAGATGACGGTGATGTCTAAACAGCCGCGGGAAATGTTCATGATTTTGCCGCGATCGCGGGAGATGACGATGATATCTGCTCGGCTGCGCGAAATGTTCATGATTTTGTCGCGATCGTGGACGACGACGATGACGTTTCCGTGATCACGGACGACGACGATGACGTTTCCGTGACCGCGGGAGATGACGATGGCGTTTCCGTGACCGCGGGACACGACGATGATATCTGCTCGGCCGCGGGAAATGTTCATGATATTGTCGCGATCGCGGGATATGACGATGGCGTTTCCGTGACCGCGGGAGACGACGATGGCGTTTCCGTGACCGCAGGAGACGACGATGACGTTTCCGTGACCGCGGGAGACGACGATGACGTTTCCGCGACCGCGGGAGACGACGATGACGTTTCCGTGACCGCGGGAGATGACGATGACGTTTCCGTGACCGCGGGAGACAACGATGATGTCTCCACGGCCGCGGGAAATGTTCATGATTTTGCCGTGATTGCGGACGTCGACGATAACGTTTCCGTGACCGCGGGAGATGACAGTGATGTCTAAACAGCCGCGGGAAATGTTCATGATTTTGCCGCCATCGCGGACGATGACGATGACGTTTCTGGGACCGCGGGAGACGACGATGATGTCATTGATGTCTACAAGGCCGCGGGAATTGTTAATGATTTTGTTTGCGGACGACGACGATCACGTTTCTGTAACCGCTGAAGTCAATGATGATGTCTAAATGTACGGTACGCGAAAGATTTCATGATAACAAAAACCAAATTTGCTAGTTAGAATTTTTTATTGCTGCATTATTTCTTTACTTGAAAACACCACATTATCATAATACTACTTTATGACAAAGATAGGGGTTGGTGTAGTATTATTTAGAAAATTTGGTTAATCTATAAAAATTGGTATCGGTATCAAGAATCGAGAATCAATACATTTTGGTATCAACACCCACTAGTTTTTGAAGAAACTAGTCTTGAAAAATCTGGAATTAGTCTTGAAAAGTCTGGAATTAGTCTTGAATTTTATAATGGAAATAAACTAGACACCCTGTTTAACAAACATTTCTGTTTTTGTCCCATCGGTGGCGAAGACAATATTTTCTCCCCTATCATTTCCAAATGGCCCAACTCTTGCTTTAGTTTGGGCTTCCGACATAACATTATATATATTATATCATAGATAAAACATACTCTCTTAGTAGATTTCTCATCCTTATGGAACAGTTGAAGACAATTTTATTGTTAGCTCTATACGGTTTATGTAGAGGTCGTGTTTTGTTTACAATTTGTTTCCCGTTATTACAGTCATTTAAAACCTTGTTTAACCAAATAATACGATCTAATCATAAACAATAACTTGTCCCCTAGTTATATAACCAAACACTAAAGCACAAATCAAGAAATTAGCCCTAAAATAATAGAAACAAAATTTCTTTGACACTAGCGCCCAGTGTCACCGAACATGAACTAGACATGACAAAATGTGCTTCAAAATTTACAATGGGATGAGAAGTCTACCTGTGTTGGTTAGTCTATGATTATATATAGTAGTTGTACAATTCCAACAACTATTGTCTCTCTTTAACTATGATTTGTTTTGATTATTTTGGCAGAACGTGACCTGGATAGGGAGAGAGAGAGGAGTGACAGTAGAGGCAGAGGTCACAGCAGGGAGGACAGGTTTCCTGGCAGACAGGACAGACGGGACAGGGATAGGGACCATGACAGAGGCAAGGAGGACAGGTTCAGGGACAGGAGGGATGACAGGGACAGGCGAGACGACAGAGACAGACGAGACGACAGAGACAGACGAGATGACAGGGACAGGCACGACCGAGATAGAGATAGTAAGTAACCTACCTTTTGTCTACATGCATACAATGGAACCTATTACCTTAGACTGTTCGTAGAAGTAGACATCCCATCCTCATTTTAAAGTAGATTGCCAGTTTTAGAACAATAATAAGGGCAATTGAATTGAGCCAAAGACTGAGTGTGTTTATCTTAGGTTACTCATTTCTGTTGCATAGCATATTCAAACTTTAAACCAGGGTATGGGCTGGGATGAAATTTCCTTCAGCAAAATGCTACAAACTCTCACACAACTGTAGCAAAAATATTATTCTTTAAGCATTTAAAAAAAAATTGCTAGCAATATTATATGTTTGAACATTACATCTTAAATTTTATTCGTAGCAAATTTGCCATAGCCTGCAAAAACAATGCAGCATTTTTAGGTTGTGTATAGCAAAATGCTAAAGATACTATCGCAGCTTAAACCCTGCTTTTAACAAAGCCAAACTTAAAGGCGAGTGTTGCTGTTCTGAATCTCGGAAAGTCTAATCAGACCTTCGGCACACATTTTGCGTTTAGTACTTGTTGCTGAGGGTCTAAACGGGCAGTATGCAGAAGGTCTAACTCCCGGAAGGTCTAAAAGTACAGTCAATGCAGAAAACTTATCCACTGATACTGTTTTACTTTACTGTGATTACTGTTTTTAGACCTTGCGGGATTTAGAACTTGGGCACACAACCTATATTTTGTAAATAAATGTTTATAAAATGAGACTTGCTGAAGGTCTAACCCGGAAGGTCTAAAAATGTGGGCATTCTGTCACCAGAGTTGAAGGCTATACACACAGTCAATAACGCAACAACTCGTAGAGCTGTAATTATTCTCAGTGATAGTTTTAGTAACTCTCACATCTATTGTTTTGCTAGCTCGTTATTACGAGTACAATGGAGGTAGTAAAATAAAAATAATCTCCATTTATATTATATACAAATCGTTCAATGAAACCCCACACTTGCACATAAGAAATAATTGATCGTATGACTGTGTTGAAACACAACTGCTTCTCACTGAGTGGGAATTGATTGCCATTAATGTCATGTAATGTTTGACAAATCTCTTTTGTTTCTACATTTCTTTAGTTTATAAATTAAATTAATGATGGGTGTGAAAAAATAGAGTTTGGTTACTGCCCATTTTTGGATTATAGAATACAATTTTCTTTTACAGATGACAGAAAAGATGACAGAGACAGCAGGGGTCGTAATGACCGTGAACGTAACGATCGGGAACGCAACGATCGAGAACGTAACGACCGTGATCGTAATGACAGAGAACGTAACAACAGAGACAGAGAACGAGAAAGAGAGAGGGAAAAGGACAGAGATAGAAGGAATGATGACAAGTCTAACGACAGCAGGTATGACAAAACCACTAAAGCCTCTACTGTTAATCTATATTAGTACTTAAGATATGTTTTATTAAATGTTAATGCTTGTCTAAACAATAACTTACAGGTGCCTTTGGTAAAATGACCCAATTAAGTTGATAGTTGATTTCCTTTGTTGAATTGGAGTACTTATTGATTTTATGTTCAACAGGAGTAAAGACCAAGGGGACAGGCGAGGGGTCAGGGATAGGTTTGATAACCTAAAGCCTAAAGACGACAGACCATCAAGGTACTGGTAATTTTTAGAGTAATTAAACTAGTCTAAATTATTTACTGTGAAGTTTGGATAGTGGTTGGATTATTTTAGTGGTGTAGTGTAGTTTGGTGTTCTTATTGTTGTGTCAAATTGTTGTGTTCAATGACAGTTTACAAACTTTCTTCCTAAACTATAAATTTTTGTTTATCATAAAATTTAATCTGAATGGGTCAAGAACGCTAGTTCAATATCTAGTACTATGCATAGGAAAAAACATCAATAACCGATTCGGTAATGAAGTTGGTGATTAAAATTCAGTTGTTTTGACTCTGATATAAATCAGGTCACATTCATGAAGTAAAATTACTCTTTGTTGTAGGAAATGCCATTCTTAGGGTTGGTTGAAATAATTGTTTGTGGTTTTATTATTCAGACCTAATGACAGGAAAGAATGCCTATGATGTTTCAGAATTCAAATTTTGTTTTAATCTTGTCTTAAACGTTTAAACAATTTCTCAAGAGACCTGTCTTTAGCAACTTTATTAGCCATGATTTAAATGTGGATGTATAGATGTAGCTTGGCAAAATTCTCAAATGTGTGATGTCTGGTAGGGAGGAGCCGCCTCCAGCCAGACAACACCCAGCTGTTCTAATAGAAGATATCCTCAACACCCCGGGGAGAGACAAGAGACCCAACAAGATACTAGTCATTCTACGAGGACCACCAGGCTCTGGCAAGAGCTTTGTGGCTAAACTAATCAAGGTTTGTTCACACCTGACTACATTCAACTATTACTTACCAATACAGTCTAACCTTGATATAACGAACCTCGATATAACAAATTCCTTGATATAACAAATTTTTTGTAATCCCCTAGAACTCTCCATAAGACACAATGTATATTTTACCTCTACATAACGAACAAACCATAACAACGACCTTGATTTAACAAATTTTTTGTGATTTCGGCTAAAATAAGACACCTCAATACAAAAAATTTATCATTGTCAGAACCTCTACATTGCAAATTTAACCTCTGCATAACGAATTGTCTACGTCTTTCCCTCGATATAACAAATCCCCCACCCAATTATTGTTTTGGGAAAATCTGTTTCTTTATCAAATGAAATGGAAAGGTCACGTCATCGCTTGTGCTAACATTCGTCTGCTCCGTTTTACATCTTTGTCTGCTGTCGCTGCGCGCGCTATGTTGCAACTGAGAACTGAACTGATTTCATTCACTGAGGACTGATGACGACGTAATGTTTAGTTTAGTAAGCTGTGATTGGGCGATATGGGATAACTATGGTGAATTGTACAATTTTTGGATAAAGAGAAACCTAAGAAAGAATATAAAAACAAAACCAAAGAGAAAGAATAGCAACATCGTTATTTTAACATTCCTTTTCCGAGTGTTTTTATTATCCTATGATTATACACTTTTATAATGACTTATCTAATAAGTTATTGTTTTCAATACGATTTGTTTCGTTTCAACTAGCAACACCAATGCTATAGTTAATGATTATTATTGACATTCCTCTGTTCTGTTGTGATAAATCAGTACTGTACTGTAAAGTAGCCTACCGGCCTATCGCGAGCAGTAGCTTACTAAACTTTTTACGTTCTTTGTTTTGTTCTTTACACGGTTTATGACTACACAATACACAATAGTGTTTGGCTAGGTTTTAGGAGGGTTAGAACAAGCTGTGATTTTAAACTTACAGTTTTTAACCTGTACCAAGGTCAATGCCATTGTCATGATTGCGCAATATTCAGATCCCTCCCCTTTATTATGCCGGATAATTTAGGTTCTACTGTGCAATGTAAACACTGTACTGTAAAGAATTGTAGCCTTTGCTACTTTAATTGTATTTTAATGAGGTCAAATCCCGACCTATATTGACCGACGCTGGTTCTGAACCTCGACTTAGCGAAATTCCTGCAAACCTAACCTCTATATAACGAACCTCGTTTTAACAAAATCCTTGATATAACGAATATTCAATTCGGTCCCTTCAGATTCGTTATACTGAGGTTGGACTGTATATTTCAACTGATCTGAAATAAGTCAATTGCAATTTAAAATATTAAGGTTTTAGGTTACTTCACCGAGCGGAGGTTTACAAAATAACTCTTAACTACTACTGTATAGTTTAAGATATTTTAATTAATAAAAAACCAAAATAAAGCTCATTTTCTGCTCTTTGAGACTTAATAATTGTTCATTCAATGAAATAGTGGAATTATAAGGTTTTTATTTTCTTTAGAATTTATAATAAAGCTGGGTTTTCCGTTTTCCCTTGCGGAGGTTAACAGAAAAGTGTAACTCCTGAACCGTTTGAGATATTTTGATAAATAAAAAATCAAAAGAAAGTAAAGAAAGCTAATTTTTCTCTCTACATTCCACTTACCCCAACATCAAGTAATATGCAGAGGAAAACTACAATAAAGGTGGTGGGGGGTATATACTTGTACAGTACTTGTAAGTGTACACCCCAAACATCATATTACAAAAAAAATTCTCAAAAACGCAAAATTCATATTTATGACAAAAAAAACACATATACAAAACATTTCAAAGAATAAGCTCAGATAGTTTGATTTGTATAGCACCTACAAACGTTTTTAATCTGTAGTCAAAGTTGTACTATGTGATTTGGGGCGTACACTTACCCCACCTGACCTTATCTATAAGTGTAAAAGAGGATGTTTGTATATATATTTGTTTGTTTGTTTGTTTGGCAGTGATAAACTCAGACACCGCTGAACCGATTGCCACGAAACTTGGTACATACGTGTAGAATGTCATGGAATAGGTTTTATTGTTGATCATTTCATGTTAAGTATTTAATTATTTTAGGGTTAATTGTTATGAAATCAGTTTTGTTTTAAGCGTGATTGATACTCACTTGGTGCATTCTCACTGTTATTTTAGCAAAAAATTAATTGTTTGTTACACGTAAGAAAACATTGACGATGTCTATTGTACTGACCTGCAAAACCAGGAGTTATGCGGGATTTTTTTGAATCGAGAAAAATTGGGAAGTATGCGTGAATTTCATATTTTATAGGGAATTTTCAATTTGCCGTGATAGCGCATGAAGATGACGTTTCCGTGACCGCGGGAGACGATGATGATGCCCAAACTCCTAGTTTAATTTTTATATTAAAATTACTCTTTATTTGTACAATAGTTTAACAGCCGTGATTCTTTAGTGATTTTGTCGTGATTGCCCAGGCCGATGATGGCATTTCCGTGACCGCGGGAGACGACGATGACATTCCCATGACTGCGGGAGATGACGATGACGTTTCCGTGACCGCGGGAGACGATGATGATGTCTAAACGGCTGCGTGATTTGTTAGTGATTTATCCGCAATCGCCAATGACGTCGATGGCGTTTCCGTGACCGTGGGTGACAACGATGACGATTCCGTAACCGCAGGAGACGACAATGGCGTTTCCGTCTGATGATGTCCTTAAAATTATTGCTCGACGTTGATGACCGCGGGAAATTATTAGAATTAAGCTACCATTGCGGAATATGATGATAACTTTTCTGTGATCGCGGGAGATCATTATTATGTTTCTGTTACCGCTGAACAATGTCAGGATTTTGTCACGACAACAGAAGACAGTAGTGATGTTTCCGTTACTGAGGGAGATATTAAGGATTTTTCAGTTATCGCGGAAAACGATGATAGTGCTTCTACGACAGTGGTAGATGATCACGATATAACCTCGAGGTTGGAAAGTTTAGTACAAAAAGTACGACATGAACTACCTGGAATTACTCATGAATTTTTCTGGTTAGCCTGGTGGACACCCTGTTGTAATACTTGACACTTGAAATATATTGAATCTTGAATACTAGTGAAGTAACACACCAACTTTAAACTGCAAGTGCTTTAAATAGCTCAAGAATAGAATTTTTAAGCACTACAGATTTGAATTTTTCGAAGTCGTCCGGTTGAAGAAGGATTTGCCATGTCAGCGTTGCCAGGGGTGCGCCCGATTGTGATGTCGTTCATAGCGTGTAATGGTCACAATCTTCGGGACTGTGCATCCCACGTCTAGACCAGCCTTGCACATTAGATGATCTTTTACATGCGAATGACAAAGCCATATCGGTAGCTAATTTTTGGAAAAGCAAAGTCTGATTTCCGGACATGGAAAGTAAGTATTTGAATTTTGATAACAAATTGTCAGTAAAAAGACCGGTGCTCTCTGCGCTGAGTGACTTGCCCTTTCACTTCTCCTTATATGCACACATGTCTAGGCTAGTAAACTGTGTCAATAGTTTTTAAATTGTCACATATATATATGTTTTTATGTATAAACAATTAAATGGTACTTTATACCCTCCACTTGAGGTACCAGTTATTGAAAGTATTCTTGCCACAGGACATTCTTCTGTGCAATGTTGAGCCAATAACACTTGTTTGCAGGACAAGGAAGTAGAGAATGGAGGCAACGCGCCCAGGATAGTCTCTCTGGATGATTACTTCATGTGTGAAGTAGAGAGAGAAGAGGTGGATCCCGAAACAAAGCGCAAGTTTACAACCAAGGTGAGTTACTCATGTGTTAGATCTTACTAGTTATGTGTCAACTTCAATTTTTATTGATTCTGTCTCAATTTGGGGAATGTTGTTTCTGAGTTTGTTTCTTGGTTTGAAATAGATAAAATTACCATCCACTTATATTTTTGTCTGAGGCACGCTAATCATTTTTCTTTGATTGAATTTTACTGTTAGTGATGGTTTAAATGTTTGATGAATTTTTGCAAGTGGAACTTGAGTTTCAGTAATTGATGGAAAATGTAAGCAATAACAACAATTAAAACTACTCATAATACATTATTATTTTATCCTAAACACTCTGAAAAGCTTTGATGTTTTTTAATGCAAGTCTGTATGGTTGACAGTATAAAAAGTTCTAGCTTAATACTAATCATGAATTTGTTGTGTTGTTCATTTATCGTCATCATAACTTGAATTTGTGATCATCTTCCACGATAGTATAACGAACCATGATGTTCCACAATCCTAGCGAAATTGAGAGCATCTCCCTCCTTGTCTCCCGCAATCAGAGCAAAATTATTTCATGACATTCCGATATTTCCACTAACTCTTGGGTTTTTCTGCTAAAAACCAGCAGTCTACAACACACAACGGACTCAAAAAATCAACCCCACCCTATATCTTACCTATTTGAATCATATAACAAAATTTGCTTAAAGATAAAAGAAATTGGTGACATATCTGTCTAGAAAACGATGGATGGATTTAATCAACCTGTAAAGGAAAAATGTTACTCCTCCAGCCTACCCTCGTTATTGATTGACTTTCTATGGAAGGAGGTATCCATTTTATAATTGACAAAACCAGTTTCTTCATTCATAGAAAGTTAAATAAAAATTATACTCTTATCTTATAGATTGTGCAACTCTCAAAATACTTTTTTATCCTTTAGTTTTTACACACTACAGGGTATGGTTAGTTGATGGAGATATAAAAGATTCAATTAACAACCCCTTTAATAGCAGACAAAACTGAGCAAAACACTTAAATTGTAGGCCTAATCAAGAACCGTATATACATTTTACTTAAGCATAATATTTTTTTAATAAAGAAATACACTAATTAAATTGGGTGTACAATGTATTTTTATTTTTTACAATGTTGGAAATCCAATAGAGCTCAATTTTAACAAATTCTCAACGTAATACAACTTTCGCACAAAGATTGGGAAATCTATTCTATCTATTCTGAAAAAATCCTGAATTTTTAAGTCCTGATCAACTTTACTGTTCATCAGGTAATGGAGTATGAGTATGAACCAGAGATGGAGTCGCACTATCGTCAGTCTCTTATCAAAGCTGTCCGCAAGAACCTGGCCGACGGCTACTTCCCTTTCATAATCCTCGACTGTATCAACAACAAACTGGAGCATTATGAAGAAATCAACACGTTCGCCAAGCAGAAGGGCTTTCAGGTATATGCTAACTGAGGATTAAAAACTCTTGGGTTTTTGTCTTTTTATATAGCTAACTAGCTTTTTATATAACTCACCTGTAAATATGACACTGTACTACTCTCAACAAATATGTTGATAAAGAATATAGTCTATTGTCTAGTACATATAGTAGAACCTTACTTTACTGAGATCTGAATTAACTGGAAAGGTTAAGAAAGAACAACAATTCTTTTATCTTTCTTGTTGACTCAATTGCATTCTTGTTGTTTACAGGTATTTATCTGTGAGATGGACTCTGATGTAAATGTGTGTAGCAAGAGAAACATACACAAAAGAACAGAAAAGGAGATAGCGGAAATGGTGAAGAATTGGGAGCCAACCCCCACATCTCAGACACTACTGGATGTCAGGAGCTTACTGCAGTCTGCTGCCATTACTGAGGTAACGTTTAGTATTAAGAAGCTAACTCGGTGATAGTCATTGGCGTAGTGTAGTGGTTTTTGCTGAATCTCAAATCTCACATTGAGTTACACTTGCTGTTTACTGTTGGCCCACACTACCATCCCTTCTGTGTTTGTTTCGGATAACATTTTTCTTCATGTCTCATTTTCACATTTAAGGACGCTATTCTCTAGTCCAGAACATTTTCACACATTACTTCAGGCTAGGAAATAATTCATGGTCCTAGGAATCTAATCAATAAGTTGCTTAGATCGTGGGAAATAATCACGAATGCTACTGGGAGATTATCTTAATATTACTCTCAGATTCTGGCATAGAACACAGTAAATAGTAATGAGACTCAATTTCTAAGTAAATCCATATTACAGATTCTTTATTTTGATTCTAGAACAGGATTAAACAGTTGCTTTGGGATTTTGGTTTAATTCAAATTTGAAGATTCCTGGATTTTGTCATCACCTAAACAAAAAAATCATTTATCCAACTGAATTAGAATTTCTTTTTACTTTGTTTCACTGAAGAAATCTTGTCATTAGTATTAGAACATTATCTTTTTTGTATTTGAAAACTTATTAGGTACTTATTTATTTAACTACGCTAGTGCTTTATGTCCTAGTTTTTTTTTGTACAAGTATCCCTTTAAAACCTGTTTTATTTTTTTTAGTAGAATTGCATATTTTTCCCCAAATAATTTGTTCACTTTCACAATAAGTTGTGAAACAAAATCTTTGTGTTCACAGGTTGAAATGGAAGATGCTCCGGCAGAAGAGGAGAAGAATGAGAAGACAGACAGTGGAGACAAAGAAGAGTCCAAGGTGGAAGATGTAGAAGAGGTAAGTGGGCCTTTGATTGTCCGAGTGATAGGTTAAGCTCCAGTGTCGGTCGCCGACCGTATTTCCTCAAGTCTAAGACGGAATGCTTTCAGCCCCAAACTACCACAGGTAAGCGACAATAATCAGACAGGTTTAAGTTTTTATTTTTTCCCTACAAATACTTTAAAATAATATATATATCCTATATGATTTTATAAACACATAAAACTAGTTTTGGATTAAATATAATCATCGAAAGTATAATTTTAGTACATTAAAATAAATTGGTTTTTATTAGTTAAATACATTTTTACCTTATGTAAATCCCACAATAACACTTAAGAATACAGTTTCCTTAACTAAAGTTCATGTGTTCATGTGTTAACTAAGATCATGTGTGGATCATGTGTTTGTAGCCTTGACTAAATCCTAAACCCACATAAAATATACATAAAATTTTAGTGTTCTGAGTACTTTTCCATCAAATCTTTATTTTACTTATCTTATTGGACAGTTCTAGAGAATTATAGGCATACAAATGAGTGTAGCAATGTCATACTCAAGTACAGTATTAGAATAGATTTGTATGAGATATTCTGCATTTATAACGTGTCTTTATTCTTTAAATAATTATGTGAGTACAGTAAATAAACAGACGTCAATTTTTTTCTTGATAATTCACATATTAATTACCTTAGTTAGCCTTTAAAACCCATGCGGAACCTTTTTCTGTATCACATAACAAAATAAATTTTTCATTTTCATTTGATTTTGTTATATGATTTTGCAGTAAAATTTTGACTAAAACTATAAGGAACCAATTTATTTTAACCCTTCATGGTTGTCTTTGATTTTAAAACAATATCGGTGACACACAGAGTTTTTTTGGGGGGGGGGGTGTTGAAACATAAGACAAACAATGATTTTTAATCTTATATTAATACAAAAACGTATTTAAACCATGTATAATTAATAAAACTGTACATAAATAACTATTTTTCTAGAAATATTTCAAAAACTCTAAAGATTTATTTAATAGTTTAATGGTTTTTAAGGTCAGTGTTATGAAAGAGGGATTTATGGGCGGGGATTTTAAAAATCAATCATCTAACAGGATGGATGTATTTGAAGAAATTTGTAAAGTAAACTGTAAAAAACTAATTATATAATTTATAAATTCTATGTGATATGTGCAAACAAATTCATCATAAGATAAAAACGAAAAACTGTGACTGGACTTAACCACACTCACTAACCCACACCTGAGTTGCTGAACTTAGGAGAAGGGTGGTTGTAAAAATTGTTTTGGTGAAATCCAGGAATGCTGCTTAAGACACACGGAGCCGGACGCAACTGGCGCGCCAACTAAGTAGTTTTCTTTTTGGAAAAATCTTTACACTCTGAGCTTAACTTCACAACTGCCCCCCCCTCAAATTGGCGTGAACAATTTGTTGTGATTTGACATTGAATATAATTTTTTCAACTGTTTCTGCAGAATTAAGGTTCGAACGTGGTTTTATGCGGGTCAGCCAAACACCGTTAGGAAAACTTGTTACATTAAAGCCAGTTTGAGGTTTTGCACCGGTAATTAAACTAATTCCCACACTTGTAATACCCAAATGCTGGAATCTTCTTCAACAAAATGAATTTTGAATCCTCCAATGCCACTAGAAAAATTAAATGTTGTAAGATAAGGAATACTTTGTCAGCCGCACGTTAATTAAAAATGGTCATTTAGTATCTGAGTAGATAGCGACTTAAAATTATTGTATATGTGGTGATTTTCTTATGGTTAAATTGTTAATGCTGTATATAGTATGTAGAAACTAAAATAAAGATCCTAGTTTTCTAAATGTTTCTGCGTCTTTTGACCTGAAAATTAAAATATTACTCACTATCTATCAAATAAGTGACACCTATTAATTACCTCCTAAGTTAATTTGTTTCTTTATCCATCGGTCAGTGATTATTTTCTCTACTGACGATTATTTCCTTGCCCATGTTAAATGGTTAGTTACTTGGATTAGCATAATTAGTAGCCCCATCGTTGATCTGTTGAGAAAATTGCTATGTATTGAACATATATTTCAGTGGTTGTGTGACTGTAAGTTACATTTATTTATACAAATAATTGGGAAGGTTTTAGCAAATTGTTATATAGCACATAAGCTATTTAATAACAGACTGATTGTGTTGACTGATCATTCGCTGCATGATCTGACATATCTTTGTAACTGCATTGCTGAAATATAAATTTTTAGTGTGAAGTTTTATCGATAATTCTTTAATACTTTTCAATGATATGGCGACCATACAAAGTAGGTATTTTAAGCCAAGTATGAATGGAGATGAGTGTAGGATGAGTGGCGCGATCTTGTAGTCTTGTTAGTGACTAAGGCCGACATTCCTTAGACACAGCTGTTAATTAATAACAGATGACTGTTATTATGGACTCGGCTGCTATGGTATTGATGTGGTTTTGTTTCATTGTAATATGATTGGGGGTCTTCACTTGCTAATTTTTTCAATAGCTTTGCAGAAGCACCTAACCTATCCTTTCTCCCTATTCACCCCTGAACCCACTGAAGTTTTTTTCTTTCACTGCTAATTTCTCGCAAAGTACCTTTGACAGAACTACGCTATGACATTTTCACAGTATGGATATTAACACAAAAACAAATCCTCAAACTGCACTAGCCATTAAAACTCGCTATGTGTGAATATAGATTAAATTTTGCTGGCAAGTAGGAGCTGCGACTAATAATAACGGCGACTAAGTCACGGCGAGTTGGATGCCATGTGTGAACTAGCCTTTTAGTTAATTAGGTTTAGGAGTTTTTTTTCATAAATAAGTCAATCAGCTTGCTGAGATTAGTCATTTGTTAATTTTTGAAACTCTTAGCTGTGGCTCTGAATTACCTGATTTACAATCATTGAATCAGCATAGGCTATTGTGACCTGTTTCAGTTCCCTTGATTTTATTCAGCGTCAACTGTGTCGCCAGATAAAATTCAATGTCAGATGTTTTTCCCTAACTGTGAAATGGCATCCTCATCGGCTAAACCCGGAATGTATGTCCAGTGTTAATGTAAAGGAGAAGGTCATCAGCAATTTAAAATGCAGGAATGCCTTCTGCTCAATGAGCTTCTAGTTCTTTCTACTAATAGTTTGGGCTAACTGGAGATGCCATTTCACTGTATGGTCAAATCATCCGGCAGTGATTTTGATTTGACGATGGTTGACACCAGTAAATTTTTATTTCACTAAATAGAGTGGTGTCTATACATCAGTTTTGTATGGTTCTGTATGAGTTGTATTAAGTTAAACATAATGATGTATAAGATCTAGAATTTACTTATCCGTCCGTCAACCTTTTAAATGATTTCATCGAGTGCAATCACCTTAGTTTATAGTTAATATGTTTTGTAACTCAGATACAAAACCTCGGTAACCACCGAACCTGGTGTTATGAATATATTCTTATATATTATGGCGATTTTAAGCAGTTGGATTGTTGAGTTTTCAATGTTGTTTTTGAAGAAGTGGAGCATTTGGGAGCTTGATGAAGCACAAGTCTTAGACCTGGGTAAATACGGTTTGTATCTTACTGTCTTATTTGTAGTCAATGTTGAATGAAAGTTAATATTTGTTTTATAATAAGTGTTTGTAGTATTATAGTTGTTTACGTTAAAGTGATTTTATATTTGTGACAACTGTTTCAGCTGAAGTGGTCGCTGCACTGCATTTTTTGTTTGTTTGTTTTTTTCTGTGAAGGGACAAGTAATCAAAAGTTTCTGTGATATCTTATAAATGTTTATCCCTAACTAACAGTCAAGTAATTTAAAAAATATAATTTCAAAAAAACAGTTTTGTATCAAGGGTTTCAAATTATAACAACATAACATACAGTTCAGCAAAACATTTTTACAAAATTAAATTTCCACAATTTCATAAAGTGTTTTCCTGGGTGCAGTAAAACCCCGCTGATCCAACCTCGGCTAGCATTATACTACCCTCTAAATCCACTACTCTCTTAATCCGACCGTGCCATCCCCTATTGGAGATAATGTTATTGCGATAACATTTATGACTAGTCTCCTACAATAGCGGCAAACATTTTGTTCAAATTCCCGGCCATGACGGAAACATCATTGTCGTTTGCTGTGATCACAGAAACGTTTACCTTCGTTCGTCATCTTCTGTGGTCTTGTTAAAATATTAAACGTCTCCCACGGTCTCAGGGACATTATCATTGTCTTCAACGATTGTGTGTGACCAATAAATATCAGTTAAACAATTCATTTGGCCATTTAATATGCTCCTCGGATAATCAGACTTTTTCACTTTTCCGACCATGGTTCCCGTCCCTTAGGTGACGGATTAGCGGGGTTGTATTGTATAACATTTTTTGTATTATTTCTGATAAAAGGTGTTTTTGAGTTTTATGTAGTCAATATCAATTTCAGTCCCAGGAAATTACCCAAACAAAATTAAGTAAAAAAATTCAAGCTTGTTAAGCTACTTAAAAAAAATTATTATTTTCTGATAAGCTTTTGTTTTAACTTCATTGAAAGTAAACATACTTTACTTTTTTAACTGTAACAATAAAACTATTTTTGAAATCCTTATTACCTACAGGATTAAAAAACCTAAGTGATAACTGATAATACTAATTTCTGTATATGTATTACTGTTGTATTGTTTTGAGAGTGTAACATTTGAAAAGTGTTGGCACTATCGCCACTTCTTTGTTTAGCCCTGACTAACTGTTGTTTCACATCTCAAGGACCGAGAACACATGCTCTATTTCCAGCAAATATATTACCCAGTTACATATTATAAACGGATCTGTTTAACATTGTACTCATTCACTGCTGGTGATTTATTTCTGTTTGTAATCATCTGGTCGCAAACACATTCGGTATGCTAATTTTAACATCTGTAATTTAGTCTTTTGTGCTGATTTGTCTGTTAGCTCTGTTTCTCATTTGAATTCCCAAGAAAATTTCACAATTCCTCAC